AAAAAAATAAGAGGATTTTTGGCTCACTGAACTTCAAAATCTGTTTGATAAAGCATTTCAGTGATGCCAAGGACCTGGTTTCTTTTTTCATTATAACTTCCCTGGCATTAACTTCATCCAAAGGTCAGATCCCCTTGTGATCACAAAAAGATGCCAACAACTCACTTGGGGTTACTTATTTCCGTGTCCACATCCAGAGAAAGTACACATATCTCAACCAACCAACAGAAGTCTTGGGCTTCGTTATGAAAGGACCAACTTACTTTCTGTCTCCATCCTTGGACTAGTCATTCTGACCATGGGACACCCTTACCAGCTTGTATCAGGGGAGGAAAGGAAGGAGGTCCCCTTGTTCAAGGGGAGGAAGACTAGTGACTAACTTAGGTCAACATATTCAGGTGGGATAGAGTCATCTGAACCCAAAATTCTAAGGATGGAGTATGAGTAATTTCTCAAAAGAAGAAAAGCTGAATGGGTCTTAAGTAGACCTCCAACTAATGTCTTCTGCACAAACTCTAAAAATGAACCACAGAGCTTCCCTGGTGGCTCAGTGGTAAAGAATTCACCTGCCAATGTAGGAGACACAGGTTCGATCCCTGATTTGGGAAGGTTCCACATGCTGCAAAGCAACTAAGCCAGGTTACCATAACTATTGAGCCTGTGCACTAGAGCCCAGGAACTGCAACTATTGAGCCCATGCGCCACGACTACTACGTGCCCTAGAACCCATGCACTGCAACAAAGAGTAGTAGTAACTCTTTATATATAAAGAGTGGTGGGGGGCTAGAGAACAGCCCAAGCAGCAATAAAGACTCAGCACAGCCAAAACAAACAAATACATAAATAAATAATTTAAAAAAATAAATAAAACACAACCAGAACCCTAACTTAGGTTTCTTTGGATGCATGCAACAGAAATCAACTCTAACTTAATCCCACACAGAGTTCTTGAAAAGATGCAGAAGCTCACTGACCACAAGTGAACACTGGAAATCCAGGACTGCTCAGGAATCGGGTGACTCCAGGGAATTAGTATCAGGAAGTATTCTACAGCTTTTCCTGAGCCCTTTGTCAAAATGAATCAAGTCCAGTCCTATTTTCTCTTCTTCTGTCGCCTCATTCACTGTTTGAAATCCTAGGAGGAGGATTTTGGGATGTCCATGATTAGGTCATATCCCTGGGCTGAACTCAGGTGGTGACAGGAAGGATCTAGTGGAAGGAACTTCCAAAGACATTTTGGTTTCCAAAGCAACAGGCCAGGATTCCTACTCGCATCAAAGTCTGCACTCATCTGGGGGGGTGTAATCTCTCAAAAGGAACGGGGGTCCTCTTATTTGAAAGGAATAGATGCTAGATTTAAAAATTACAAATATTCAGTACTTCCCTAATGGCCCATGGCTAAGACTCTATGCTCCCAATCCTGGGGGCCTGGGTTTGAGCCACGTCAGGGCACTAGATCCCACATGCTGCAGTTAAGGGTTCACATCCTTCAACTAAATCTCCCACGTGCCACAACTAAGACCCAGCACAGCCAAATAAATAAAAAATTTTAATCAGAAATATTCACCTTGGGTATTACATGATAAAACATGTGAGGTGACACAAAGCAGCACTCAAATGAAAAGTATTAACTGAATGAGTTTACCTGAAAATCAAGATTGAAAATAAGTCAACTAAGATTTCAACTCAAGAAGGCAGAAAGAGAACATGAAAATAAGCCCACTAGAAACTAACAAAACATTGTAAATTAATTATACTTCAAAAAATAAATTACAAAATAAAGAAAATGGGCTCAAAGTATGAGAAATTATTCAAGGTAAAAGTAGATATTTGTCACCAAATCAAAAACCCCAACTATTGACTAGTGAATATAATAAATCTGGTTCTTGGACTAGCCCACTAAAACAGACCAATCTTTGGCCAATCTTTGGCAAGTTTGGTCAATGAAGAAAGGGAGTCAGGGAGGAAGACAGAGAAGAGGAAGAGCAAAAATATAAGTAAACAACATCAGGGGTCATAACTACAGGTATGGAGATTTTAACAGATTATAAAAGTATAAAATGTGCAAACTTACAATAAATTAAAAGCCACATGAAACTGATATTGTATTAGAAAAATAACAGTTACAAAAATTGACTCAAGATGTAGAAGCTTCAAGAGACAAACAATTAGAGCAGGAATTGAAAAGGTATTTGAGGAGTTTTCCCGCAAGTGTCTCCAAGCCCAGTTTCATAGGTGAATTCCACCAAAACTGCATGGAAAATCCCTATGATCTCTAACTTTTCCAGAGAACAGAAAAATTTCCAGCTTATTTTACAAGGCCAGTAGAACTCTGATAAAAAAACACAACAAACAGAGAGGGACAAAAGCACCCCCCAAAGAAATCTATGGGCCACACCTATTTTCTAATTTACATGTACAAATTCTGAATAAAATCTGAGCAAACTAATCTATAATGTTTAATGAATAATTCATAATGGCTAAGTAGGGTTAATCCAAACATTCAACGATGTAAAATTAGAAACAATCCAGGCCATCAGCATGTGAAGAAAGTAAAACATTAGGACCGTTTCACTAGGTGCTGAAGCACAAGACTCCCTTTTCTGTGTCTGCAAAATCCTTCAACATGGAAATCTTTGGAGAAGCAGAACCTGCCTTGTATTATAGAAGGTGAAAATGCCAGATACCTTGCTTTCCAAGACTCCTTTGTAACTGGGTCATAGGTACAAGATCAATTGGACTCACACCCAGACTTTTTAATATTTATTTGTTTTGACTGTGCTGAGGCTTAGTTGCGACATGTGAACTCTTAGTTGCGGCATGTGGGATCTAAGTTTCCTGACCAGGGATCAAAGCCAGGCCCCCTGCATTGGGAGTGCAGAGTCTTAGCCACTGGACCACCAGGGAAGTCTCTTGAACCCAGACTTTGAATCAGGAGTTAGTATCACAACAGAGGAGGGATAATGCAGGATTCTCTCTATGCAGTCAGGAGTCTGTGCTAACCCTGAGCTCCTGGCCCAGCAGTTGCAGTGGAACAAGCTTCAGAGACCTGGTCTTGCAGCAAGAGCAGAGATTTCCTCACCAGACTGGTTCTGCAGCCTGGTTCTTAGCTCTGTTCCTAGTTACACGGGCCCACGTATGGTTCTCTAGCCCTCATTCAGAAGTCTCTGAAGTAGCCAATGTAGTTTCAATAAATTCCTCTTCAGCCTAAATTAAGTAGAAAAAATTTCTGTTGCTTACAACTAAAAACCCTAACTGATGCCAAAATGGCAAAAACCCCCAACAGCCTCAGAGGCCTTACTCCATGTCGTGGGCTCTATGCAACTTCATCTTGCTTCTGGCTACTTACTTAGTGCCTTGTTTTCTCCATGTCTTTGAGTACTCTTTGCAGCCAGCAAATTATATAAAATCATATGACTAACAGGTCTATGGATTAACTGCATCTGGCTCAAGTATCCATTCCTTGTCCAGTCACCAGCCAGCAGATAAGGGCAGGCCCATGAGACCATAGGGTACCCCTTCTAGGGGACAGTCAATAGGACATTTTCAACATGGAAGGGGCCGTGGACCAACAGATATGACATCTATCTGAAACAGGCATCCAACTGGGTCTTGGGAAATCCTAAAAGGCTTTTCAGAGGAAGAAATTCTGGGTTGGAACTCCCCAGATAAGTAAGTTAGGCAGAAGGGGATAAAGGGAGAGAAGAAGGCACAAGAAGGAGAATAACCTAGAGTCAAGGGTGGAGTGTTAAGAGATGGGATTAGGGACTTCCCTGGTGGTTCAGACGCTAGGACTCGGAGTTCCCAATGCGGGGGGCCCAGGTTTTGGTCCCTGGTCAGGGAACTAGATCCCGCATGTTGCAACTAAGAGTTCTCATGCCACATCTAAGATCCAGTGTGGTGAAAGAAAGAAAGGAAGGAAGGAAGAGATAGGGGCTGGACAGGTGGGCAAGGGTGAGATCTTACAAGACTCTGTAGGCCTGTTAGGGATTTCAGACTCCCTCCTGAGGGTTGTACGGAGCCACTGGGGAGTTTCAAGCAGTGGAAGGATAGGAGCAAATCTGCATTTCTGGGGAGAAGGAAGGAGTCAGGAAACAGGGAGAGCAGTGGAGAGGCTGTCACAGAGACACAGTGGAGAAAACATGGCACCCTGGACGAAGATGGTGGCAGTGAGGGTGGAAAGAAGAGGGATGAGGGGCATTGGGAGATAAAACCAGTGGGACTTGGTGGCAGGTTAAATAGGGGGTGGAGCTAAGGATGACTCTCAGGGATTTTGCTTGCACTGGTTGGAAGGCTAGATAAATGCGTGGATGACAAAACAATTCACCAGGTTGGACAACACAGGAAGACAGGCTATTTAGAGAGAGGCAATGAACTTAGTTTTTGAACATATTGCTTCAGGGCCTGTGGGACAGCCAAGAAATTCAAAAGGTGGTGGGACATATGTGTTTGGGTCTTAGGAGAGGGGTCTGGGCTAGAGATGAAGATTTGAGAGTTACTGGGGGTACAAGTGGTGGTAGAGGGAAGGGAATGGATGAGGAGAAGCTCGGGGGTTTGTGTAGCATCAGAGAAGACCAGTGACCGAACTCTGGGGGCAAGTTAATCTCTCATAAAGGACAGAAGAAGGGGAATCCACAAAGAAGATTTGAAAAAGGTCAGCTAGAGAGGCAGGAAGAAAACCAAGAAAAAATTACCACTGGATAAACAACAAGGTCCTACTGTATAGCACAGGGAACTATATTCAATATCCTGGGATAAACCATAATAGAAAAGAATATAAATAAGAATGTATGTATGTGTATAACTGAGTCGCTTGGCAGTAACAACAGAACAACACAACCTTGTCAATCAACTCTAATTCAACCAAAAATAAATTTTAAAAAACCTCTAAAAAAGAAAAAAATTACTGTCACAAGTCCCAAGGTGGGAGTGGCCAAAGGTGTGCAGGCTGCAGAAAACAAGATGGTGTGGAGGAAGGAGTGTCGGGTAGATGGAGAGGGTCAGAGGCACATGGCAAGAACTGAGTCCATGGAGTAGGGGGCAGGTGGGAAACAGCCTAGAGGAGGGTGAGGAGGGAGAGGAAGGCCAGGGTTAAAAGTAGGCAATTCTAAGAATGCAGCTGTGAAGGGGAAATGAGGTGGGCAGCTGGAGAGGTTTTTAAAGCTTGGAAGTGAGTGGTGGTTGGAGTCCACCCCCGATCTCCCCAAGGTAGAAGGAGAGCAGGCGAGAACAGAGCCAAAAGGAGGGCTCAGGGCAAGTTGTGGAAGGATGTGATAAGGGCCTGTGTCCAGGATGGAGGCTGTTCCCGGGTTCCGGGAGCCCATATCAGGCTGCCATTTCCTCCCCATCCCTACCCCCTTCCTGCCCCTAACCAGGGCCTCCCTGGAGCTGGAAGACAGAAGGACCAAGTTACACCCTGGAAGAAGCTCTGTGTCTCTGGAGGTTCTTCTGCCGGTCTGTGAGCTGGGGCCAGGGCTCGGGGAGGCCAGGGCCTGAGGGAGGGATAACAGCCAAGGGCTGGAGCTAGTAGTTCAGGCTTTGCGGGAGAAGGGGAGGAGAGGGGAATGGAGGGAGAGAGGTGTGGGAGCTGAGTTTCTGGAATAATCCTAGAGGCTGTAGTGGGGGCCAGGGCCCGGAGGCATACTGCTGGGGGCCCGAGGGGTGCCCACTCAAGCCTCCCTTGCCCACAGGTCACCATGCCCCTCCTCCTCTTGCTGCTCCTGCTGCCAAACCCTTCACACCCCGCCCCCATCTGTGAAGTTGGCCACAAGGACAGCCAGATAGAAGTGAACTGTGAAAATAAGGGGCTGAAGGCACCGCCTCCAAACCTGCAGGTCAACACCGCCATCCTCCACCTGGGTGAGAACCCCCTGGGCACTTTCTCCATGGCATCCGTGGTGGATCTGCCCCACCTCACTGAGCTGTTCCTGGGTAAGAGCCAGCTGACCAGCCTGCAGACAGACGTGAAACTGCCGCGGCTGGAGGTCCTGAATCTAGCGCACAATGAGCTGAGAAGCCTGCCCAAGCTGGGATGGGCACTGCCAGCTCTCTCCATCCTGGATGTGTCCTTCAACAAGCTGACCTCGCTGTCTTCTGATGCTCTGCATGGCCTGAGCCACCTCCATGAGCTCTATCTCCGTGGAAACCAGCTGAGGACTCTTCCCCCTGGGCTCCTGGTGCCCACGCCCCGCCTGAAGAAGCTCAACCTGGCTGAAAACGACTTGCAAGAGCTGCCCCCTGAGCTTCTAAAAGGGTTGGAGGAACTTGACACCCTCTATCTCCAAAACAACAGGCTGCGCACGATACCAACGGACTTCTTTGGGATGCTCCTCCTGCCCTATGCTTTTTTCCATAACAACTCCTGGTCCTGCGACTGCGGGATCCTCTATTTCAGCCGCTGGCTACAGGACAACCCCAGCAATGTGTATGTATGGAAGGAGGATGTGGATATTAAGGCCATGACCCCCGATGTGAAGAGCGTTCAGTGTGTCGATATGAGTGGCACATACGTCTACAACTTCTCGGGGGATGGCTGCTCCATCCCTGGTGACAGGGACTACCTGGACTACGATGAATACGAAGAGGAACACAAGGTACCTGTCACGAGCACTGTGATCAGCCCCTCTAACCACGCCATGCACTGGGACCTGCCCTATTCAGCACTGCCTACTTCGCCAGGCAGTCAAGTGTCCTCCTTGCCTCCAGCTAAGAAACTGACCATGATCCCAATTACTATAGACTCCATCACCTCCTCCAAAACTCTAAAATCCACTACTGAGCCCCCCACAACTCCAACCACCCCAGAATCCACAACCCCGACCACCCCAGAACCCACAATCCCAACCACCCCAGAGCCCACTACCCCGACCACCCCAGAGCCCACTTCCCCGACCACCCCAGAGCCCACAACCCCGACCACCCCAGAGCCCACTACCCCGACCACCCCAGAGGCCACAACCCCGACCACCCCAGAGCCCACTACCCCGACCACCCCAGAGGCCACAACCCCGACCACCCCAGAGCCCACTACCCTGACCACCCCAGAGCCCACTACCCCGACCACCCCAGAGCCCACAACACCGACCACCCCAGAGCCCACAACACCGACCACCCCAGAGCCCACTACCCCGACCACCCCAGAACCCGTAAGTGAGACTTTACAACCAACCATATTCTTAACCTCCACAGAATCCATTTCACTCCCCACTATCTTAGAATCCACCATAACCATCATCTCTGAATCTAACAACCTCTGGAAGGCCCAGGGATTGGCTAATTCCAGAAACAACCCTGTTCTCAGCTCTGACTCTTGCTGTCTGTTCCTGGGCTTCTATATCTTGGGTCTCCTCTGGCTCCTGGTTGCCTCTGTGATCCTCATCCTGCTGCTGTGCTGGGTCCAGCAGCTGAAGCCATGGGCCCTGGCCACGGCCACCCACACGGCGCACCTGGAACTGCAGAGGGGAAAGCAGGTGACGGTGCACCGGGCCTGGCTGCTTTTCTTCCAAGGCTTACTTCCCACTTTCCGCTCTAGCCTTTTCCTGTGGGTACGGCCTAATGGCCGCATGGGGCCTCTGCAGGCGGGTCGGCGGCCTTCGGCCCTGAGCCTGAGTCGTGGTGGGGATCTGCTGGGGACAGTGGGTGTTAGGTACTCTGGCCACAGCCTCTGAGGGTGGGTGGTTTGGGGACCCCAAGACAGGGTCTCATAGACTCTCCTATTGGGGCCTGATAGGGGGCGGGTGGGTACGGAGCACAGGGTCAAGGAGGTCTTCATCACTGTGCCTTTATCAGGAGTCTCCCCTGCACACAGTCCCAGACCCAGCAAATCAAGGAGTTGGGGGAGGGGAGGTCACTGAACAGAGCTCCCTATGCTGCATGGATGGTGGGGTTCCCAGACCACTAGGTTATTACTATCACTTTGGCGAAGTTTTAGGAAAGAGCAAATAACATTGTAAAGGTGGTTGCCAAGTATACCTGTTGAGGAAAACTTGGAAAGAGATGTGTCAACATGTGGGCCCTGAGTGTCTCTGGATGGTATAAATAGGGGTGGTTTTCTGTTCTTTTCCTCTGTTTAGCATTTTCTAGTTTTCCACCATCGTAATGTTATTTGTACAATAAACATAATTTTAAAATGGAATTTTGTTTCTTTGGGAGAGGGAAACAAGGCTGGGGTGCCTTCCCCAGCATTCCCAAGGCCCCAGTTGCCCCACCCTAGTTGCACTGCTCAGAAGCTCTGGTCCTGACCTGCACCTCCCCGGCCTGGGGTGCCTTCCTTCTCTCCTCCAGGGGTCACCAACAACCAGGCCACCGCGAGCAAGTTCCAAGTCAAGAATGAGAAGTTTCCCGGGAGCTCAGGGATGCTACTGAGGGTATCTGCCTGCAGCCCACAGTACTAGGCCAGGTGGGTGCTTCCTGGCACCGGGGGGCACCAGAAACACAGCCCTCCTGCTCTGCCCAGGGTGGCAGGGCAGGGGAGGGGAGGGCCTGGCAGTGTGCAAAATCTTGGTGGGTTTTACTGAATTACTCTCAGGTTTCCTGCTGTCAAGCCAGGAGGCAGGCAAATGGAACCCACTTCTCTTCCCCTGGTGCCACGGGCTCCGCCATTCCCCTTAGCATGTTGGGTAGACTTTCTCTCCTGCCTCTAGCCCAAGCCGACTTGGGGTCCAGAGAATGAGAGTGAGGGCTAAGCATTTCTGGCTCCAGGGAGACCCCCCTCCTCCTCCGGGTGGTGCAGGGAGAATCTTTCTAATGTGAAACCCTGACATTTCTTTTCTTGCTTTGAACTCTTCCCATGATAGAATACAGCTCTTGAGCTTGGCCACCGATGACTTCTGTGCACCAACCCACCTAACGATCCGGCTTCCCCTCTCCCAGCAAACACTTCACTGCCAGTGCTCCAGCTGCTAGACTCAGCAGAGATTCCTGGCTCCTCAGTTTCTCTAAGCCTTTGCTCTGAGGGCCAGAGTGTTTCCCCGCCCCGCTTCCCTGACCAGTCGGTTACTGTGCAGTCTCTCCTGGCCCAGACCGGCCTGGGCGCTTCATGTCACCCTGCAATGGTCTGCTGGTGACTCTGTTTCCCTGTGTCACTCTCCCCTCTGGACTTGGAACTCATTAAGGACAAGATCCAGGCTTCAAGTGTCCCTAAGCAGCTCCTGTGGCCCAGGCCAGCATGTGTGCGGAGCGGTAAGACAAGAGGCACAGGTCGGAGGGCCAGGCTGCACCGCCAGGCTGTTGAGCTCAACTTCTGCTTCTACTGCTGGGTTCTGCCAAGGGGACAGCTCCCAGCTGCTGCCTGCCTGTCCCCTGGCCTGGCTCCGGAGAAGCCTTCAGGCCTCAAGCACCAGGCCTTCCAACTGACCTTCCTATGTCCTTTTATGTCCCAAGAGGTTTCTAAGCTTCTTGAGGGCAGGGCCTGGTAGCCCACATCTAAAGAAACAAAGAAGGCAATCATCCTTCCCAGCCTGTGGCCCAGATCAAGTCTCCAGCAAACATCTTCCCCTTCCTAAGCCTCCAGGCTCTGGGGGCCTGACTATGTGTCCACTCCATGCCCTGCCCCCACCCTCCCTCCCACCTCAAAGGTCAGCCTTCTCCTCTCAGGCTGTAATCCCTCCCTCTTCAGGCTGCAAAAGCAGTCACCAGACCTCTAAGGCTTTTCCTGGGGATTACATGAGATGACCTGGGCGTCTGTCGAGTTCTTGGGGGAGCGGCTGGGAAGCCTAGAGTTTGGGTTTTCTCATACGTCACCTGCTACAATATGACTGATTTATATAACACTTGTATAAAAACCGTGAGTGCTCTTTCTTTAATAATTTTTCTTACAAACTCCAGTTCCTATTCTCCAGGAGCATCTGCTCATTTGTCCGGTGTCCTTCCCCTCCTGTGCCCACAACTCTCCAGATTTGGGGGTGGTGCCAGCAATCCAATTTATTGATTATGTCCTCAGTGAGGTGGAGGGAGGAAGGGCCACGTCCTCCTACTGCAGACCTTTGATCATTTGGATGGCTTCTGCTCTCTCCTGTCCCTTCAGCCCTGCCTTGGTTTCCCCACTGAGAAAGGAGGGGCTTCTGCTGTCCTATGTGCCCTGAAACTAATATCCAAGGAGGCCCCAGAAATCCCCAGTGAGCTTCCAAGGTCCCCCCAAGGTATAGCCAGGGACAGAGAGATGATGCTGATCAGGGCAAGGAAGGCAAGCTGGAGCTGGGCAGGACAGACCAAAGTCTTTAACCGTAGAGCAGGGAACCACACTGTGTTGGGAAAATAAATAGAGGGGCCCAGGGTAGCAGAGTCCAGGCCCCCAGAGTTGGGGGGCACACTGACTGTAGGAGCAGGGGGTGAGACGGAGCCCCGGTGCGACTCCAGGCCCCTCACCCGCCTCAGCCACTGAGGAAGAGACGCTTGTAGGCCTTGTTCATCTGCTCCAAGAAGATGAAAGTGAGGACAGTGTGGGGGCCCAGGCGGGCATAGTATGGTGTAAAGCCTTTCCACAGGCTGAAGAAGCCCTCGTAGCGGACGACCTTCACCAGCACATCCTAGACAGGAAGGCAGGCAGGGCACTGAGGCTAGGACCTGGCCTCTGGGGTCCTCTTCCTCTTACCCAGCCTCCCGCCTTCTCCCCGCTTCCCCCCATGCAGCTCAAGCCCCAGACTCTGGTTCCTCACCAGCCCATTCTTGTATTCTGGCTTCCCATCAATCATCCGCATGTTCTGGATCCTGAAGGACGGGAGGTAGGGACATGAGGACATAAGAGGGCCTTTCCTGTCCCTCTCCAGGCCCAAGTCTATCCAGATTGTCCAGATACTCACCGGGTCTTGACAATGTCCACGGGCATGGAGGCAGCAGTGGTGACCAGGCCACTGATCATGCTGGCACAGAAGTGGCACAGGATGTTGTCAGAGAAGTAGCCTGGGGGAGGTGGAGCAGGGGGTGGCAGTCAGCTTGAAGCTGGTCCAGGCTAGCTGGGAGCTGAGGGCTCAGCTCTGGGTCTCACCTGAGTCCAGTAAAAACTGCTTGGACTGGGAGTAGGAGGCAAGCTGGGCGGCATTGACGACGACAGCCCGAGCCATGGTAGGGATGCAGCCCTGGGGTGAGGGGTGGAGGGGGAGTCAGAAATGCCCAAGACTGGTCCCCAGGTCCCCCAAGTCTCCAGTCCCTCTACTCACCCTCCATAGTGTGGGGACCCCTTCTTCCTTGACAATTCGAAACAGGGCGTTAAACACATTTTTGTAGCCACGACGCTGGTCAACTGGAAGCCTGGTGGGAAGGCAGGGAGAGGCCAAGTTCAGGCTAGACCACTCTGCCTCCACAGGCACAAAGAAAGGGAGGGCAGAATGCTGTGAAAAGGTGAATGCTGTACCCTAGATCTAGGATAAGAAATCACTTCTTTCATTCTAGATTCCAGGGAATGGGGCTGGGGGCAGGCTCAGACCTAGAACTCACCGGCCATCAGCAGTCATGCGGATAAGAGCCACCTCAGCTGGTGTCCCCACAAAGGCACCAGTTGCACCTGCAGTCATGCCAATCACGGCCTTTAGCAGAAAGCCAGGGGGTGTACCATCAGCCCCAGTCAGGCGCTCAAACAGCACGGTATAGATACCAAGGCGAGTAGTAGTGTAGGTGGCCTGGCGCAACAGGCCAGCTGAGAGCCTGGGGGGAGTGAAGGGGTCAGTGCATCAAGCCCAGGTCTAGAACTGTCAACCCACAACCTACCCCCATCCTTTGGCCCCAGTACCCGGTGTAAATGCCCCTCAGCCCTTCTGCCCTCAGGATGCTGGTGAGGGCATGGAAGCTGGTTTTGTACTCTCGTTTCTTGGCTCCTTCTCCACTCAGCTGCATCCGGTTCTTCACCAGGTCCAAGGGCTGCACAAAAACTGTAGCTCCCATCCTGGGGGAAGACAGGGGTAGCATCAAGGGCTAGGTGTCTCAGATCTGCCAAAGTCCCTTGGAGCCCAGCAACAAGAGGTCACAAAGGGTAGGGCCTGCCATGCCATTGACTAAGTGTTCAGGAGCTGGTGGGCACGTGTACAAGAGTCTCTACTTGTATCAAGAGCAATGGGTCTTAAAATGCCAGCAGTCCGGAAGGGACCATGCAATGAAAGCATTCCACGCAGCAACAAGGGTGTCAAGCAATGACCCCAGGACTGTGGGAGAGGTGGGCATTCATGACCTGGGACCCCATATAGTCTAGCAGGAGCCATGCAATGACCTGAAACCCCATAGAGTCCCGCAGTCAAGCAATGGGTTGGGAAACTCAAGTGGTCTGGTGGGGGTCGTGCATGCAGCCCAGAGGGGCCCTGAGATGGGTGAAAAGATCCCGGCAGCCCATCAAGCATCTTGCAATAGATGGGGACGGCACTGACCCCGTATCAGCTCGGTTCACTGCAACACACCCAAGGAAGAACCGGGCCCGGTTCCTTGCACCCGTCCCTTCCTCCTCCTGTCCCATCCCTGGGGCCTGAGCTTACCCGGCCAGGCCCCCAAACAGGAACTTGACGGACTTAGGGGAGGTACGGGGCTTCCCGTCCATCCCAGAAGCCCCGGGACTCGCCGTCGCCGCCATCGCCACTCAATGGCCCTCGACTCGCGGTCCCGTGCGCGCGCGGCCCCGCTCGCGCCCAAGGTGACACCGCGCGCGCAACAGGGGCGAGGGCGCGCGCACACTCCCCTTCGGCTCTCAGGTCCAGCGCTAGCTGGAAGTTGGCGCAGGCGCAGGCACGAGCGCAAAGGCGGCCGGGAGTAAGGTGGAGCTGGAGGAGCAGCTTCAAGAATGGGTGCGGGAAGGGGTGTGGCTGATTTTGGAAGCCAGCTAAAGCGCAATTTTTATCGAATTGGAATCGCGGGAAAAAGGAGAGGAAGGTATCTGAAGATCTCGCGAGATGGACTGAGCTAGGCTAGTCAGAATTAGGCGGTCTCTCGCGATACGTACAGGAAGCTGTCAGCTGGTGGGAGGGAAATGTGGTAAGGCCTCTCGCGAGACTTGAAGGCAGCGGCCAGGAGGACAGGTTTGTAAACCGGGCTGTTGCAGGGTCCTAGGCACTAGCGGGGAAACGACTAAGTAGTCATCTGATGCATCGGTGCTCCTTTCATCGCCACAGGCACTGCCTCCACCTCTGACCTTTCTTTTAATCGGTCTTTTAGAACCGGAAGTCCTTAGTCGTGAGCGTCCGATGCTGGAAGCGGCCTGACTTTCTTTGCCGGAAACTCTTTTCCAGGGGATGGGAAGACGGCCCACCTGGCCGGAAGTCCCACCCCTTTGAGCTCCCCCACCCTTCCAGAAGTTTTTCTGTCACCTGTGCTGGTCTCTGTCCCCTTTCCAGGTTTTATTCCTATACCAGAAAAGGATTATCGTTAGTCTCTCCCTCCCAGCTCCAATAGACTAGTTGGGTACCTCACTCCCCGAGTCGAAGGTCCTTCCCCGAGCCCCCATGTAGCTGGGAAGTGGGACCTGGGGGTGGTTGGACCCCTGGGATCCTGAAGGAGGGCCAGAGAGGGCGCAGAACTCCGTTTCTGTTCCTGTTGCCCGGCCGCGGCCCCCTCCGCCTCTCCTCCCGCTGCCATGCACCCTGCGGCCTTCCCGCTTCCTGTGGTTGTGGTCACTGTGCTGTGGGGAGCGGCCCCCAGCCGGGGGCTCATTCGAGCGGTGAGTCGGAGGGGCCAATGGGGGAAGGGCGTTGAAGGGAGAGGTTGCAGACTAAAGGGCCGACACGGACTCTTGTCCGCAGATCTCGGACCACAATGCCAGCATGGACTTTGCAGACCTCCCAGCTCTCTTTGGGGCTGCTTTGAGCCAGGAGGGACTTCAGGTGATTTTCTTCCCTTTTTCCTGTTTCCTTAAATTCTCTCTCCTGGGTAGAGGTTCAACAGCCTTTCTTGGAGCTGTTAGTGGGGAAAGTGTCAAGTTAGGAACTAAGTGCAAGAGCACGTCGAGTGTGATGGAATCCAGAATCTGGAGGTGAAAGACAGTCTACTCCTAGAACTCTGGGCCTTGGAAGGGAAACTCAAAGTGGACTGAGATGACAGGTAGGGTCTCTAGAGCCAGTTACTGCCCTTATGATCTTGACAAGTTAACTATCTCTCTGAGCCTTAGTTTGTTTTACTGTAAAATAGGAAAATAATAGAACTTATCACAGGATTATTGGGAGGATTAAATTAGATAAGCAGTTTTGTAGTACTTTCTCACAGACTGCCATATAGCAAGAACTCAGTTGGGCCATAAAGACCGGTATTGTTGTTTGTAAGATGGGTAATTGGAAAATTAAAGGGAGGTGTTAAGAAATAAAATTCAACAGGAGTAAATTTTAAAGCTCTTACTTTTATTTAATGACCCATGAATCAGGCAGCATTCCACCCAGCAGATAGATCTCTGAACTATACAAAATGAAAGATTTACAGGCAGAAAGGGGTGGGACAAGGAAGTTATACCAGCAAAGATTTGTTTGTGGCAAAATCACCTTGCTTTAGGGGACAGAAGGGATCTGTCAGGCAGATTACCTCACTAACGCTGACCTTGTAACCCCAGATAGACTGGTGTAAGATCCCATTCTTGGGGGAAGCTAAAATTATAATTAAGTATTGAGTTTGGTAACAGGGGGCTCAGCACAAATACCTCCATTTTTTTTTTTTTTTAAACAAGTATGTACTAGAGCAGGGAATGTGAAAAAACTTGAGAAAGTGATGTGGATGAATGGAGCATTGAATTACAGTCAGTGGGGAACTGGAAGGCCGAGGAATTAGCCAGGAGTGGGGGTACAGGTTAGCTCATGTGGGAAAGAGAAGGATGATGCAGAGTCTAGTAAAGGGCTGTCATTTGCCCAGAGTTGCATCTTCAGAAGGTTAAGAGGTAAATTTCTGACTTTAGTGCGGTTGCTCAGACCAAACCCAGGGACGAGGACGTGCGGGATGTGAGAGCCAGTACATGGTGGAACCTGTGGGGAGCAGAACCTAGGGAGATGAAATCTAACTGTTGTTTGCTTCTCTTCCCCAGGGCTTCCTTGTGGAGGCTCACCCAGACAATGCCTGCAGCCCCATTGCCCCACCACCCCCAGCCCCGGTCAACGGGTCAGTCTTTATTGCACTGCTTCGAAGATTCGACTGCAACTTTGACCTCAAGGTTGCTGAATGTGGTGCGGGAGCTGGGAGGGTGAGCACCAGGAACGAAAGGTGGCAACACCCATGACGGTTTCTTATCTGCCTTTTCTCCCTAGGTCCTGAATGCTCAGAAGGCTGGGTATGGTGCAGCTGTGGTACACAATGTGAATTCCAATGAACTTCTGAACATGGTGTGGAATAGTGGTAAGGCTGGACAGCTGCGTTTTCAGTAGAGCTTAGACTGAGAGGATGGCAGGAGGGGTGGCACCTTAGGGAAGTCAGTGCTTTGGGTGGGATGGGGCAAGAGAGTCAAATGCCAGGGTTACCAAAGGATTCATGTGGCAGCTTGCATTCCTAGTGTAATGCCCTCATCCCTGCAGAGGAAATCCAGCAGCAGATCTGGATCCCGTCTGTGTTTATTGGGGAGAGGAGCTCCGAGTACCTGCGTACCCTCTTTGTCTACGAGAAGGGGTAGGACCTGTCCCTCCTTCCTACTCTTCCTTCAGCACTTCCATGCCAACCTGGAGCCCAAGCCTGTGCCCCAACCATTCAGCCTCAGGCCCATCATACTCTTCCTCTTGGTACTTTCTCCCCCATCCTCACACGCCCTGTCCAGAGCCAGTTACTTTGTCCTGCTTTCTTTGTCCTTTTGCCTTTCCTGTCCTGATATTGGTCTTCCTTTTTCCAGGGCTCGGGTGCTTCTGGTCCCAGACAATAGCTTCCCCTTGGGCTATTACCTCATCCCTTTCACAGGGATTGTGGGACTGCTGGTTTTGGCCATGGGAGCAGTGATGGTGAGTAGCTCAGGGAGCAAGATGGGAAGAGTCAAGGCCTTTAAAGCCAGATTGGCTCTGGGATTGCAAGACAGGGATGGTTTGTACTGGATTGTCCAGATTTGTTCTAAGACTGATCCATCCACTCCCTTTCACCAGATAGTTCGTTGCATCCAGCATAGGAAACGACTCCAGCGGAATCGACTGACCAAAGAGCAGCTGAAACAGATCCCTACACATGACTATCAGAAGGGTGAGGAGGGTTGTGAAGGGCAGGCCTTTCCCACCACTTACCTGGTTCTGAAGGAGTTGAAGCCCAGGAGATGAGGGGCAGAGATGGCAGGGAGATGTCAGTCTGAGATGCTGTCTTTCCTTTTTTTACCCGTACATTAAAGGACAGGACAGGTTTAGAGCAGGAGGTGGAAAGCAAAGATGATTAAATGGAATAGTTGGGGGGAAGGGGGAAGATGGAGGACCTTGCTCGTAAGAGAGGAGGATAAAGCAGAAAAATGGAAGGAGTGGGGAAGATGCTGCCAGAGAAGGAAGACACAGGTAAGAAGGGGCTGGGTCTTCAGGCCTGGAGCCTCCAATGCCCTTATAAGGCTAAGACAGAAGCCCCGCCCCATTTCCTCTCCTCCCACTATCTCTCCACTCACACCAACCCCCAGAAAACCCACTTCCCTTCTTACCTCTGCTTCTCTTTGCTTGTGCCTTCTAACCCGATTCCTCATGTTCCACCCTGCTCGTCTTAACTCTTCCTCTGGCTCTTTAGAACCAGAAAAAAATAACTTTTGCAGGTTTAGCACAGGCCTCCCAGAGTGACTTCCTGTGGGCCCTGGTTCAGAATGGCTCTGTAAAAAGACTTTCTTCTTCCACTAGGAGACCAGTATGATGTGTGTGCCATCTGCCTGGATGAATATGAGGATGGGGACAAGCTGAGGGTACTCCCCTGTGCTCACGGTGAGGCCCTCACTTCCTGTGCCCATGCCCCCATGCCCCCAGCAGGCATCAGGTGCTTCACCTCACTCCTCTTGGCAGCTTATCACAGCCGCTGTGTGGACCCCTGGCTCACTCAAACCCGGAAGACCTGCCCCATCTGCAAGCAGCCTGTGCATCGGGGTCCTGGGGATGATGAGCAGGAGGAAGAAACCCAGGGGCAAGAGGGTGATGAGGAAGGGGAGCCAAGGGACCAGCCTGCCTCAGAACGGACCCCTCTTCTGGGCTCCAGCCCCACACCTCCCTCCTCATTTGGCTCTCTAGCTCCAGCACCTCTTGTCTTTCCTGGGTCTTCAACAGACCCCTCGCCCTCTACCTCTTCAGCTGCCATCCTGGTTTAATACTCCCCTCCGCACGACCTCTGATGACCTATTTGCACAGCCCCTCTTCCTCTCTTCAGTCTTCTACTTTTGAGGGATAGGAAATACTTCCATCCCAGATTTCTCCCCTTATCCAGCTCCATCCTTTTGAAGGGGTTGGGGGTACAAAGGGACAGGGTCTTCACTTACTGGGTTAATAAAAATGTTTTTGTGGACTAAGGAAGGGTGAGATCATTCTCACACAGGGAAACATATCATCCTTTGGGGAACTGCCCCTTTCTGCCATACAGGGGCAAACGTGTGCGGGGAGGAGAGGCTAACCTGCTGTCTTGGGGACAGCCCCAGTAGGCATCTGTTGTGACTCAGAGAGGGAGAGCCCCACCCACACATGAGGATGACTCAACTGGCCCTGCCTTGCCCGCAGGCCTGGACCCATTCTCTGGTCTGGATGGCTCTATTCCATTATCCACCAATTCAGCTAGCACCCTGGGGACCTAGGGCTGGATATGTTATTGTGGAAGGCCTGGTCAATCTGGCCAGGCAGGGCTGAAGCAGGTGTTTAGTCCTGGACATGAAAGCAAGAAGCTCAAAATCCTAAGACTTTGTAGTGCCCTCAACCCTCCTGCTGCTTCTAACCCCAAGCCAGGATAAAGGAGGCAGCTCACAAGAGCTGTCCTCCATCCAGACACCCAGGCTAAAACCACACAGCACCTTGTTAGTAGAATCTTTTTTATTCAGAAAAAAAACCCAAAAAACAAAAAAGTTTTCCAACCACACACAGGAGGGGTATGGGTTGGGGGCAGGGGGTGTCTGTCCATCTAGCCCGGGCCCCCAGCCCATGTGGTTTTGGCAGCAATAAGGGGTGTGGGGTAATGGCCCAAAAAATAAAAATGGTGTATGTATGTGTGTGGGAAGGAGAGGGGTGCAAAAGCAGTGGGGAGTGGTGAGGGGAGGGCCAGACGAGGTCAGTACTGGGAACGCCGCAGGTGAGAAGCCATTTCATAACATTTCTTGTTGATCATACCGCCGTGGACACCTTCTTTGCCCATCAGCAGGACTAGCGCTGGAGGAAAGAGAGAGGAGGCTAGGACCCAGGTGTCACCACCCCACCCCCTGCCAGCTGTTCAGCAGCTGTCTAACCCTGGGGGCTGTAACCCAACCTCATCTCTCCCAACCCCCCACACACAGGCAGGCTGTCAGTCACCCTGAAACAATAGGTCTTTTCAAAAGGGGAAAATCAAGCTTAAAGGCTGGAAAGGAGCACAGTAAAATTTAGGGGTCAAAGGCTCCTGGACTGTTGACTCATATGTTCAGGCTAGAAATGGCTGTGGATGAGCCGGCCACCTCTTAAGTTTTCACAAGAGAGCTCAAAGGACAAGAGCTGAATGCTGACTTACGATGAACCTTTTACCTCCTCCAGGAAAACGGAGTTTCTCCTCTGAAAATGCTCAAGGTAAGAAGGAACTTAAGAGGTAATACAGTTCAACTTCTTTATACCGTATGGTGAGGAACTGAGACAGACTAGAGGAACAATTTAGTGCCCCAGCATCCAGCACGCTGGGGAGTAGAAACCTGGTTTGATCCTTTCATACTAAGTGATCCACACAGAAGAACCCGAAAGATTAACAAAAGGAGGTAGGGATTTTGGAGCTAGAGAAAGGGTAAGAAAAACTCACTCTTGGCAGTCATGGTGACAGTGATATTGAAGGTAGGGGCTCCACCGGTGCTCTTGGTACGAAGATCCATGGTAAATTCTCCGTCCTGCAGCAGTGAGTCCCGGATCACAGAACATTTCTGGCCCCCAAGCGTTAGCCCGTTCACGAAAAAACTTGACCGGTCTTTGCCAACCAGGATACCGACCTCAGCAGGCTGAAAAGGGAACCACGCACCCAGCAAGTCAGTCAATACACCAGAGTTCCCACCTGCCTCCATTTCTCAAGGAAGCCAAACCCCCTGGGGCGAAAAGTGTATGTTATGTGCTTCGTACACATTCGTGAAATTTGAAAAACTCAGGATTGTTGGAAGTGCACAAAAACATGATCTTGAAACCTAGAGAATGTTAACAGGAAGGGACAACATAGTCCCCTGACTCAGATGTCTATTTAGATGTCGTTTAATCGGGAAAGCAAACCCAATAAATAAATGGGGCCAAAAACCAGTTAAGAGAATGGAGTGGAGAGCCTTGGATGCTCAGAACTCTCCTTCAGGAAAAGCAGAAGCGAAGAGGGGAAGGGAGGGGGCGGGCAAAGCAGGAGAAGCAACTTTGCCCTTATTTGGTCAAAGGTTCTGCAGGAGTTGTTAGGGGCCCGGACGCCTGGGTCTCTAAGTAACCTAGAGTTTAGGTTCAGGTAGCTATGCTCTTAAGATGAGGAAGCAAATGCCTGGGGGCATTCAGGGAAAGTTGAAGAACTTTTGGAGGGGGCCTGGGGCTAGACCCGACAAGCCAGCTCTCGGGTCTAGATACCCCGGGGATCGTATCTGCCCCTCCCCCTTACACCCCAAATCCCCACATCCGGTCCCCTCCCGCCCGGAAATCCCCTTCCCCCCCTTTAGAACTTCCGCTCCCCCTCCCCACTTCCGGGCAGTGTGGACAGGGGAGGTGGTGATGGGGACAGCAGTAGTCATCCCTTCTTCCTTCACTTATCCTGTCCTAGAACTTCTCACAAAGTTCCCCTGCTCCAGGCCTGCCGGATGGCGGGAAGGGAGGGCGAGGGGACACCCGAGACTGGTCTCACAGGAATGCTGAGTCCGACGTGCCGACTGGCCGGGAGGGGGGCGTCGTGTGGCGCCCTAGCCGTCTCTAATGGGAGTTGGGAGGGGCAGGGAACCCACGGAGGTCGAGCCAGGGACCCAGGCCATGCGACTGGGGCTCCCTCCCGTATCAGAGGAACAATGGTGGAAGGAGCGCGAGCTGGCGGCCGGAAGTGGAGCTAGGGGTCCAGGGGTCCCCAAGTCCCTTCTCAATCAAAATCCCGGGTAGAAACTACGGCGCGTGCCCAACCCGCCCTGGAGGAGGCGGAAGTGGGCCGCCGCACCGGGCGGCGCACCCTCCCCGCCCTGTGCCCCGGATGTAACGCCCCGTCGCGGAAAGCGGGGCGGCGGGCGGGCTGGGCGCCGCCGCCCGGGGCGGTGGACTAAGGGGGCCATGGAGGGGCCCGCTCACGTGCTGCCGCCATTCGCGCCACTTCCAGGGCAAGGACCGGGTCACGGCCTTTCGCCGCCCTCCGCAGACCGCGCCCGCCCCCACCCGAGTCCCTCCCTCAGGGTCCAAGACGGGCCAGTTCCCAGGACCGTGCAGGCCTCTCAGTACCGTGATGTTGACGAAGGTCTTGCCGGGGACGGCGGCCCAGACGGAGGGCGAGTCCTTATAGCCCACGATGGCTGCGTCCTGACAGGTCCCGTCCGCCATGAGGTTGTCGATGTAGGCGTTCCACCCGGCCATGGCGCTGCTATTGGGGCTGCTTTCGGGGCTGCTGCTGGGGCCGCGGGCTGGGCTCGGGCTGGCGGGCGGGGGAAGACGAAGAGCTTGTGGCACGCGCTGCCGTCCGGACCGCGGCTCTGCTAGCTGTGCAGCAGCCCTCGCACCGCCACTTCCTGCTCCTCCCCACCCCCCTAGATTTTTATTTGCAAAGGGCGGTGGGGGCGGGGCCTGCTCCCCACTCCCTCTCTCCCTCCCCTCGCCTGCCCAGATACCGAACTTTGCAAATGCAATTTAAAAAATCCCTCCCCCTATTGCAAAATTTGCAGAGTTCGATGGAAAGCGAGGCAAAAAGGATGGGGGTGGGTGGGGATGAGTTAAGGTTAAGGCCCGCTCCACTCCGCCTAAACTATCTGACTTTAGTGGAGGGAAAGGGAGTGAGCCAGAGGGAAGAAGGAAAGTGAAAGAAGTAAGAAATAGCAAACTGCAAATTTAGCAAATTAAGGAGGATTCGGGTAACTCAGGGTTAAACAGAATGACTCCCCCTTCCCCCACCTCTGCCGGGGGCTGGAACGGCGGGCGGCGGCGGGGCGCGTGCGCCCGCGCCTGCGCCGGGGCTGGGAGGGAAAGCGCGTGGGGCGGTTGGGGCAGGCGGCGGGCTTCGCGGGCGCGCGCCCGGGCGCGCCAAGCGGGGCGGATTTGGACCCTCGGCGGAGGCCGGCAGGCCGGAGACGTGTCTCCCGCCAGGCGGAAGGGGCGGAGGCGAGGCGTGGCGTGTGCCTGGCCGCTTCTGCCTTCTTGATTTTATTTATTCAAGAAATAAGGCAGTAAAGGGAAATTTGACCAAATACTCCCGGCCGTCTTCAGAACTGAAGGCACCCACCAGGGACATTTCTGTCCCCAGCATCTGCCCGGGCGGCACAAGCGGCACTCACTGGCGCCCACCTCGACTCCAGGGGGTTGTGTCTCACTGGATCAGCTCCAGCCTCATTCCTCACTCCACGTCCCAGCCCTGCCCGAACCCCGGTCGGCAGTTTGGGTCACCGGCTGTGCCCCTTGGCCCGTGTCTGCAGAGGTCATTGAGCACCGTAGGGCCAGACGGGCGGGCCTATTTTCCAAGGCGGAAGAATACTAAGCGGTTTCTCAAGTTTGCAACTTTTTCAAGAGGGGGAATGTCCCTTCAACTTTGGCCTTTTGGGGTTTTTTTTTTTTCCCCTCCTTTTTCAGTAAAACTTAGGCTAAGAACTTGTGTGCGATGAGTTCGCTCGCTGTTCCCCGGGAAACGGGTGGGGCGGGACCTGGAGCCCGGCTTAGGTGACTCTAGTTTGCGCTGGCCGCCGGGGCCGCTGAGGGGCTTGGCCGCTTCCGGTCCCTCGGGGGAGGGGCGCCTCCCGGGCGCGAAGGGGCTTCGTTTCCCTCCGGTCCTCCGCAGCGGGCGCGGCCACTCGGAACCCCCGGAGCACCCGACGCCCCCCGAACCGGTGTTCCTCGACAGCCGCCGCGGCTGAGTCACTGGCCAGCTCGGGCGGGGCCGCAGGCGGGCACGTGGCGGCGCTCCCCGCCCGCCATCCTGACCTCTGGCCTACCGCACCCCCTACCCCAGGGTGGAAATCTCCCGAGAGGGAGCGGCCAGAGATAAGGGGCGGGGGGTGGCGAGGGGGCTGGGAGACACACCGCGGGGCAGGGCGGGGAGGGGAGCTCGGGAGAGAGCTTGGGGGTGAGTCAGCCGGCGCCGGCGGCTCCGGCGCCGGCAGGCTAGGTCTCAGGAGTCCGGGGCGAAGAGCCGAGAAGCCGGTGACCCTCGCCCGCCGGCCGGCCAGCCGGCCCGAAACCTGCATGCCCTCCGCTCCCGGCCGGGGCTGCAGCCAAAGTCAGGGCTGACCTTACTCCCGCCGCATCCGCTGAGACGGAGAGAATCACAGAGTGCAGAGACCCACTTCCCCGCCATGCTAGAGGCCCACCCGACTGACCCCCGGCGATTAGACGCTCAGAAAAGGGCACTTCACCTTCTGTCCATTCATTTTTTTTGGTCACTTTTGATTCAGCACCATTCATTGATAGGCTGGGATCACGCCCTAAAGCGCCCGCGGTCGCGATCGGTGGAGAAAGGGCTTCTGACTGACAGCTTACACGCAGGCGATAAGTGCTGTCCCAGCGGTATCAGCAGGGCGCCGCGCCAACTCCTAGGGCCTGTCTAAATTCGTCTGCCTTCCCCCTCCCCCACTCCCCTCGCCGGCCTGGAGAGGGTAGGATGGGGTGGAGCGGAGAGAGGCCGCCATGAGGACCCTGAGAGGTGAGACCCTCTCGCCTTCTGAGTGGGCAGTTCAATTTATAGCTCTGCTGTCGGCCGGAACCCCCTCCCCAGCTCCCATTGGGGATGGAGACAGTCCCCCGCCCACCAAGTGAGCTGTAGACGTCACTCCTGCAGCCCCTCTTCCAGGCCCCCTCCCCAGCCCTGTAGGGCTCAGGTTACCCTTGGCCTTTCCTAAAGGGCACTAGTTCCTCTTTAACCTTTGCAAAAGAGGAATACAATCCTGACACCGGGAGAGACCCCCCCCACCCCCTCATTCTGAAGCCCCTCTCCTCTTTCTCCCCAGGAATGGAATTAAAAATAAGGACTTTTATTGGAGAACAGAGAAAGGAGGGGATAGTCATTGACCTTTTGGGAAGGGGGCAGGTGCCTAGGGCCAAAGGCTTCTGCTTTAGGCTGTAGTGGGCACTTGGCTGCCAGCCCAGCTTCTGGGGGAGGATGGAGAGGGGGAGAGGCGGGGCTGGCTGGGGTACAGGGTGGCTCCAGGATAAATGCCCGGCCTGAGAGGGGGTAAGCTGACACTGTCCCAGCTGCCACCTAGACTCAGAGCCCAGCGAAGACATCCCAGGTCTGGTGAATCTTCCAGCCCCAGGGGATAGGGGTGGTAAAGGATGAGGGCTGTGCTGGCCTGGGGGAAATGTCAGCTTGTGCTTAAGAATCCTGGAGGGATTGGAGCACACAGGATGGGGGTACCCAAGGATAGGAAAACAAGACTGTGAAGGGAGGCAGACAGAGATGACGGAGAACGGGAGTTAGAGTTGGAGTCAGGTGGTGGAATTTGGGGCCCCCGAGGATTTGGAGAAGGCTGAGGATCAGGAAAAGTGAAATAGAGTAACAGGAGAGGCTTTGAAGGCTAGGAAGCCATGGAGAACAGAGTATTTGGCCAGGGGGTGGAGGGAGAAGGCATAGTGCAGCTTTGTGGGAGATAGAGTTCAGCAAGTGGTGGAGTTTTAAAAAGAGAGGCCCCTTATTCTGAGGATGGGAGGGTGGAACAGGAGCTGTTCTGAGTGGGGGAGGGGGCTGCGCCTGCCACTTTGGTCTGTGACCTTTTTGTGGGGTATTTTTAGCTCCAGCACCTGCCTCCTTGGGGTGGGGAAGACTCTTAAAGGGCAAGGGATTTGGGGTTCCTTAAGGGATCAGCTGTCCATACTCATTCACACCTCTCACCCTGCAGCCATGGCCATGCAGAAAATCTTTGCCCGGGAAATCCTGGACTCCAGGGGCAACCCCACTGTGGAGGTGGACCTGCACACAGCCAAGGGTAACCCAGGGCCATTGAATTGGTTTACCTGGGAAGACCCCCAACTCCATCTGCCTTTGCCCCCCAGCTGCATGCTACATCCACTCTTTTCTCTGGAATCCCCTTCTCCAGACTTCTCCCCAGGCCTTGCTCTTCCAGCTTGACTCCGCCCCCACCCCACCTCCCCACCCCCCAGCGAGGAGCCGTGGTCTCTCTCCACTGCCCTCTGTCCCCTCGGCCCTTTGGAGGTAAACGGGACTCTCTGTGATCTTCCAATTCCTCCCACCCCAGGCCGATTCCGAGCAGCTGTGCCCAGTGGCGCTTCCACAGGTATCTATGAAGCTCTGGAACTAAGAGATGGAGATAAATCTCGCTACCTGGGGAAAGGTGAGGAAAGGCTGGAGGAGCCATATGTGAGGGGAGTTTCAGAATGTGGCATGTGATGTCTACATAAGGTAGAGAAGGGGTCCCCAAACTCCAGGGCATGGACTGGTACCTCTTGTCAGATCACTGGCAACATTAGATTAGAAATAAAGTGCACAATAAATAGAATGCACTTGGAAACCATATGGAAACCATCCCATACCCCCACCCCATGCCTGGTCCACGCAAAAACTGTCTTCCATGAAATTGGTCCCTGGTGCCAAAAAGGTTGGGCCTCAGAAGAGAAAGGGGAACTGAAAGTTCTCCAGGAGCTGGGGGCCACGGGAAGAGACCTGATTGCATAGGTCTCTTGAACCCCCTGCTCTGCGGTCTCTCCAGGGGTCCTGAAAGCTGTGGAACACATCAACAAGACCCTTGGCCCTGCGCTGCTAGAAAAGGCAAGTAGAAGACACACTCCTTCACCTACTGCCTCATCCCCAGAAGCTCAGGCTTGGCCAACCAAGCCTTCTGCCCCGATACCTGCATGTCTTTTTCCTCTAGCTCACATCCTGACTCCTGAGAAATCTAACCTCTGCTCTCCCCTCCTCAAACTTGCCCTTCCAGAAACTAAGTGTGGTGGATCAAGAAAAAGTTGACAAATTTATGATTGAGCTGGATGGGACAGAGAATAAATGTGAGTGAAGGGCTAGGGACAGTGGATGGGCTGTGGGGACTGGTGGGGGGCGGGGGTGAACTGCAGGGGCGGGGTAGGGGAGGACTGTAGCCTAAGGTCTGGTTAGGATTATTTCTGCATCCCACATTTCGGGGCACAGTGTAACTGGCGGGATTTGTACTCATCCCCCAGGCATTTCCTGATGCCTGCCCCATGCCAGGCTTGGGCCGGTCTGTGGACACGGACGTGAAGTTGACAAGTTTCCCTAGGGTGGGGGATCCCGGGGCCTGGTGGGATGGGGAAGACATCTGTTAACTTACTCAGTGCCTGGTGGTTTGGAGCTCTGGATTCTTTCTGGGGTGACCAGAGGGGACATTCTGGAAGACAGCCCTAAACCCTGTGGGTGGAGCACTCACAGTTTATACTTGCTTCCTCCAGCCAAGTTTGGGGCCAATGCCATCCTGGGCGTGTCCCTGGCCGTGTGTAAGGCTGGAGCAGCTGAGAAGGGGGTGCCGCTCTACCGACACATTGCAGATCTCGCGGGGAACCCAGAGCTGATCCTCCCAGTCCCCGTGAGTGCAGCCACCCGGCCACACCCCACAGGCACTCCACCCATCGGGGGAGGGCAGGGGAAGCCCCCAGAAAACCCACCTTCCAGACCCAGCTTTCAAGAAACAGTTTCCTGAAATGGAACCTCTCCTACTGCCGTCCAGCCCTCCCCTTTCCCACAATCCAAACCTTCCCTTCAACCTCTGTCTGCGTCTTTCCCTAGATGTAACTGGCTCCTTCACATTCCAATCCCAGGCTTAGTTACTCCAGTTTTTCATTCTGTGCTCCAACCCCAGATCGGATGGAGAGCTTCTTCATGGCAAAGATCTGGGCATTTTATTTTTGTGTCTTCTTTAATCCTTATGAAACCAAATTTGCTATTTATGGAAACCCTTTGAATTTAATCACAACAATAATGTTACCGTTTATTGTTACTTACTAGGCAGACTGTATAAGAGCCTGAGCTCTGGAGACAAGCTGCTGGGTTAGAATCCTGGTTTTGTCTCTTACCTAGTTGTGTGACTTCTGGCAAGTTTATTGAACCTCTCTGAGCCTCAGTTTCCTCATCTGTAAAGTGAAGGATAATAAACTGTAGCTAGTTACAGGGTGGTTTAGAGAATGAAATGAGCCAATAAAATATATGTAAAAAACTTAGAGCAGTGCCTGGCCTGTAGTAAGTGCCATGTCAGTGTTAGGTGCACGTGCTAAGAACGGTACATCCAACTTCTCTTAATTTCCCACCCAAGATCCTGCAGGTAAGCAGGTGATATCCCCATTTTATGAAAATGAGGGCAGAGGCTCTGAGGAGTAAAATTATTCATCCTAGACCAGCCAGTAAGTAGGGGATCCAGGATTCCATGTTGACCTCACCTTCCCCACCCCAATCCCTTCTTGATTCCTGGAAACTGGCCCAAGTTCTGAGCACCCTCTCCCTGTCTCAGGCCTTCAACGTGATCAACGGGGGCTCCCATGCTGGAAACAAGCTGGCCATGCAGGAGTTCATGATCCTGCCTGTGGGAGCCAGCTCCTTCAGGGAAGCCATGCGCATCGGGGCCGAGGTCTACCACCACCTCAAGGGGGTCATCAAAGCCAAGTATGGGAAGGATGCCACCAACGTGGGTGATGAGGGCGGCTTTGCACCCAACATCCTGGAGAACAATGAAGGTCAGTGTGAGCACCTGGGGGGGCAGGGCCCCTGGGGTCCCCATGGAGATGGGATGCACTGGAGCCTCAAGTCCTCCCTTGCCCTCTCCCAGCGCTGGAGCTGCTGAAGACGGCCATCCAGGCAGCTGGTTACCCCGACAAAGTGGTGATTGGCATGGATGTAGCAGCATCTGAGTTCTATCGCAACGGGAAGTACGATCTCGACTTCAAGTCACCTGATGACCCCGCTCGGCACATCAGTGGGGAGAAGCTGGGTGAACTGTACAAGAACTTCATCAAGAACTACCCTGGTGAGACCCCGGCTTCCAGTGCTCCTGCCCAAGTCCCCAGCAGCTGCCCAGCACACCGGCCTCGGCCCCTCCGCTTCCACCACCTCAGTCCCTTTCATCCTTAGCCCCACTGCAATTTTCTAACCCATTACCCCTTTGTGAGGCCCTTCTGACCTTTAACCCGACTCTGCTCCCCTCCCCCACCAGTGGTATCCATTGAGGATCCGTTTGACCAGGATGACTGGGCTACCTGGACCTCATTCCTCTCGGGGGTCAACATCCAGATCGTGGGGGATGACCTCACAGTCACCAACCCCAAAAGGATTGCCCAGGCTGTGGAGAAGAAGGCCTGCAACTGCCTGCTGCTGAAGGTCAACCAGATTGGCTCGGTGACTGAATCCATCCAGGCGTAAGTGCCTCCTGGACCAGGGCATCATGGCCTCCCTCCACCCAGCTCTACCCTCTCCATCTACCCTCTTGTCCACTAACTACAGGTCTGACTCTCGCTTGGCTCCTGACCCACCCCACCCTTTCAACCTCAAACCTTTGACTAACTCCTGACCTGACCCTGGAACTTTGTCACTGTCACCCTGCCTCAACCCGTCCCCACCCCTGCCATCCCCATCTCCCAGATTCTGCTTCTTCCCACTAGCATCTCAGGAATCCAAATTCAAGATCAGGTATCTCCCCTTCTCTCTTTCCCCAAGAACTTTACCCTCCCCACACATCTCCCACCCCCCAAAATAAAAGGGAAAGGCCCCACTCAGCCCCTGGCTTTCACCCTGAGGAAGTGCCACCAGGCCTTATCAAGTGTCCTCTCCACCCAGCTGCAAACTGGCTCAGTCTAACGGCTGGGGGGTGATGGTGAGCCACCGCTCTGGAGAGACCGAGGACACCTTCATCGCCGACCTCGTGGTGGGGCTCTGCACAGGACAGGTACTCCTGGGCCCTCCTTTGCCCAGTGTCTGAGTTTTCTTGGGGTCTCTGGCCTTCTGCCCCGGAGTTGAATGCCACCACAGGTTGCTCCCTCGGGGCTAGGTGCAATCCCTTCTCTTTAATCTCTTGCAACTCCTGTAATTCTTCTCTCTTCAGATCAAGACTGGTGCCCCCTGCCGCTCAGAGCGTCTGGCCAAATACAACCAGCTCATGAGGTACCATGGGCACAGTGGGCCTGGGCATTCGGAGCTGAGGGCTTTTGGGTTGGAATATCACAGCCCTGACCATGTCTGTCTTCCAGGATTGAGGAGGCTCTTGGGGACAAGGCTGTCTTTGCTGGACGCAAATTCCGTAACCCGAAGGCCAAGTGAGAGGTTGGAGGCCCCAGGAGTGCACAGGACAGACCTGGGCCTTCAAACCCTTCCCTCTGAAATAAAACACTGGTGCCAACCAAGGCAGTGGCCTGCTCGTTTATGGGAAGGGGGAGAGGAGATGCTGGTCCCTGAGCTGGATCAGACAGGAGGTGGAGAGGTAGGGGCAGGAGGGGCGAGTGGACATGGAATCCGCTGCTACAAGGAGGAAGTGAGGGACTGGTCAGAGAGGAAGTTGGGCTGGATGTAGAACCATTACCCTCACATTATGGAAGGAGGCAGGGGAAAGCCAGTGTATTATGGGAAATGAAGCTGAAGAGGAACTGACAGAACATTGAACCAGCTCCAGAGAGGTGGGGGACCAAGGTCTGACATCACCATGAGGGGGAAGCTGGATCAGATCTGCCCGGAAATGGAAATTTACGGGGTCTGCGGAGGGCACTGCAGTGCTGAGGTCTGAGTGCTCGTCTTTATGAAATTAAGGTACTTGGTGAGGATGGTCATGGAAATCAAAGCAGCTACATTTCCATGGAACCTCGAGGATAGGAAACTATTCTCAATATTTAACATACATTGACCTGTGCAATCTTTGAAATAGTCCTATCAAGTAGTTACCATTATTATCCCCATTTTACTGGTGAGGAAACTGAGTCACAAACAGGCAAAATACTTTACCCAAGGTGATAGGAAGTGGCAGAGCCAGGATCCAAAGCTAGACCACTTGGCCGTAGTGACTGTGCTCTTAAAAAATATCATCCCTTAGGAATTTCTGCAAAAGTGCCAATATTTGGCCATCTTTGGCCCACAAAACCAAGTTTATATTATTCAACCTATAATTATTTCACCTCCTCTCCAGAGCCTACCTTTCTCTCTGCTAACGAACCAAGACATTGGGTCAAACGGTGTTTATTGAATGTAAAGTAACCCCAGCCCCATGGGGAAGAAAATTCCAGGACGAACAGAATAATACAGATTAAATACCCACCTGAGCATTCACACTTTCACATACTAACAAACACACACACGCACACACACACACACCCCACGTACGTATCTGAGCTCGAACAGTGACAAACACTGAGCCTGAGTGACAGCTGTTAGAAGGTGGGGCTCCAGGATGGGTTCTAATAGCAGCAGCCTCGTCCCTCCCTGCCCCCGCCCTGCCCCGGGGAGCTGGGGTGCCTAGGAGGTAGATGGCAACTCTTCCCCGCTCTGCCGCAGACGCTTCTTGGCCCGGATCTCGTTCATGGCCTCTTCAATGGAGCGTGTGTCCCTCTTGTTGGCCACGGGCACTAGGGGCAGACGGGAGAGTGGGAGGACCTAGGAGCCCTGTGCCTTGGCCTCCCCTTTCCTTCCCCCCAATACTGTGCTCCTCTTCCCTGCCCCCTCCCAGCCTCCACTGTGGCCTCACCACAGCCGTAGGTCTTGTTGGCCTGTAGCATGTGAGCCGCATCCTTGGCTGCCCCCTTGCCGATAAGGTGGCTGTATTTGTCCTTGTAGTCGCTGGCCGGGCTCACCACCACGGGTCCCTGCTGGGCCGCCTCTTCCTCTTGTCGCTGGGCCAGCTCCTGAGGGTGCAGAGGGGGAAACTGGAGCTCAAGGTCTGGCCCCAGCCCCTCCCAGATGGTGGGTGGCAGGGTCCCAGGGGCTACCAGGCATAACTCACCTTCAGCCTCCGTTTCTCCTCAGCCTTCTGGGGGTCCCACTCCTCGCCACGCCTGTAGGAGTCCAGCTCTTCATCTGAGGGTGCAAACTCCTGGGAAAGAAGTGGGTGATGGGGTCAAGGTTCCACATACATAGTTTACCTCATTCTTCTCCCCTGGGGTAGGGTACAGGCTGAAAAGGAGAGAGTGGGGTACTCAACTCGGGCCTTTTACCTTTTTGAAGATCATGACATAGCGACACTCATCATCTTCCCCGAAGGAGAAGGATGTCAGACCAGCCACTTCCACCACATCATGTCTGGGGAGGGGGAGCCAAAGGGAAAGAGGATGTGAAGCCATGAGGGGGGCCAGTGCCCTCCTCTAGGAGGTTCTCCCCTCTGAACCTTTCACCCTTCGTGCCTCCTTGACCACCCACTTCCTGTCGCCCCAGCCCAGAGACACTCACAGTATGCTCCTCTCTATCTTATTCATCGGCTGAAACTTTTTCTTGATCTGCCCACTGTCTTGGATGAAATCTGACACCTCTTTCTCCATCTTGGTAGAGGGAAAAGGGAAGAAGATATGAGATGATGGCTCCACCCCACTACCCCTCTCCCCAGCCGGGCCAACAGGCTTGCGCCTCCCACACCTCTCCCACCTCCGTGCCACTGACTTCTGGGCTTCACCTCTGTTAAGACAGTTTCCACACAAACTAAGTCCTCAGCCTTCCAATTCTAACTTATTGTTGGTCCTTTCTGAAGCTGCTTTTGGTCTCTCCAGTTGTTCTCACCCTTTTACGAAATTCCACTTTCTGTTGTTTCTCTTGCTCCTGTAGTTTCTTCAGGCGGGCTGCCTGCTCTGGGGGCAAGAAATGGCAGCATGAAGTCAGGGGTGGAAGTATGGGTGGTGAGAGGGTGTAAGACTTTGGGAGGGGTCTTGTGCCCACTGGGAGGTGTCAGAGTAGGAAAGGAGGATTACTGTTGATTCGCCAAGCATTTATTGATATTTACTCTATCCCTGATATGGTGCTAGGCCCTGAGGTACAAAGAGGATGAAGGCACACCTTTGCCCTTTAGGAGCTCACAGTTTAGTGGGAGAAACAGAGATGAGAATCACGCTCAACCCTGTTTCCCATTGGGGAAACCAACTAGCAAACATTTATTTATTGCTTACAACATACCAAGAACTCTAAGGCTTGGGGAGGTAATGGGAACAGACCCAGCCCTGGCCTCAAAGAGTTTATCATCTCATTGTCTACACAGGATAGAGGAAATTATTTAACTTCCCATATGTTGTAACACCCCCACTTCTTATTTCTACAGCCGACATGAAGCTGAAATGGCCAGCATTTTTCTCCTCTGGGAGTGCAGGTGTCTGAGCTGTAAAGGGAACTCGCTACCTTTGGGTCTTACTGTCCCCTCTTCTCTCTTCTGCCATTTCAAATTGCTGACAATCTTAAGGCCTACTTCTTCCACAGGATCAGAACCCCTTCAGCTGCACTGAACATGTTCCCATTTTCCTAATCACTTCATGTCTTTGCACACGTTGTTCCTGCTGCTTGAACTGCTCTTCTTCCCCTTGCAAACTTTGAGATCCACCATGAGTCAGATGGTGAAAAATTATTTCTTCCTCTGGGGCCCAAGCACATTTGGTTCAGACACCCACTACAGCACGTGCCGAGAACTAAGAGACTGTAACTTTTGTCTTCCCTACCCCACTATGAGCTCCTAGAAGCCAGGGACCCCGTTCCTTTCCTATTCAGTTACTCTCTGTGGCTCCAGGGCTTAACAGCTCAGGCGCGCTCCTTCCCTCAACCTCATGGGCCCTGACTGTCAGTGCACCCCATCTTGGTCACATGTTCTGACTTGAGAGTCTTCTCTCTGCATCTGAGGAGGTGACTTAAGATTATGGTTAAGCACATGGGCTTAAAAGTCACACCTGGGTTTGAAAAGCCGCCATAAGTAACCCTGTAACTACAGGCAAGTGACTAAACTCTGAACTTCAGCTTCCTAGTCTGTCAACGGCCGCTGTGAACCACCTAGTCAGTCGTGGTGAGCATTAAGTAACTCAGTTCCCAGGTCCCATTATGCTCCCACCTTCCTTATAGCTTTCAAATATCTGCCTGGAGCACTGTGTTGCCCTCTCACTAACTGAATGATCTATTCTTCAGATCTCAGCTCACTGCAGGCTAGGTTAGAAGCCCTAGGTAGTTCCACTCCTAACAATTATTTTTCTTTCAGAGCATTTATAAAGTTGACTTTTAACTCCTGTGTGATCATTTTCATCAATGCTCCGGACTGCGGGCTCCTTTGGTGTGCCCCTGGCCCTTAGCAACCATTCAGTAAATATGAATGTTAGTTCGACATTAAGCAGCACTTGAGCACTTTGAAGGCACCCAGCCTGTCCTGGCCTCCCTCGAACGGGTGGGTAGCCGGTGTCCTCCCCCCAAGGCACTCATTCTGTCAGACTCATTCACACGCTGCGGAGCCAGCAGAAGAGGCCTGCACCGCCCAGCGGGCCGCGCCCTACACTGGAAGTCCAACTTGATCCACCAGTAGAGAGGTTACTCGGCTGGGAGACTATGGCCAATCGGACCGGGTAGGGGCCTTCTTATTCCTCCAATCAACATTCACGACCCGCCCAGGGAACTCAGGAATTTCAGGGTACAGATAAGAGAAATGTTGGAGCGCGGCAGAAGGGATCGGGTTAAACCAAGTAGGCGGGGCATAAGGGCACTGAACGGCTCCAGCAGCCAATTAGAGGTGCTGAGGGTGGGGTGGGCTAAGAGGATAGTCGAACAAAACTTAATCGGTAGACCTTTAAGTTGAGGAGGCCAATAGGGAAGAAAGGGTTGCGGATGGACGTATCCTGGATCCAATCGGAAGGGGACGAGGTCCACGAACCGGAGCGCCGGTAGGGCAGGCGGGGCCGAGCGGTCGATCTCACCGCCCTCCGATCCGTAGGCGGGAAGGGGTTGGGTGGGGTTCAGGGCAGCCTACCAATCAGACCACATCACTGGCGGACAGGCGGGCCCACGGGCGAATTGAAAACAAGGACTGCGGAAGGCCAGGGCAGGAAGAGGCAGGGGGCTGGTGCTGAGCTTCAGGGAGCCAATCATTGTCCGCTAAGAACAGCGGGCGGGTCAGCAGCCCTTTTAGGGACTCGGGGGGTCTCTGAAGGGGCCGGTGAGGGGTCTTTCAAGGTTGAGAAGGCGGGGTCACCCAAAGAGGGAGGAGTGCGATCCTGAGAACCGGGCGAAGAAAGCCGGCTATGAATTTGGGATCCTCACCTCGGGCCTTGCGCCGAGTCTCCTGATCACCGAGGCTGGGTGGCTTCTCCATGGAGCTCAGGATGGAGCCCAGTAGGTCCGCCATCTTGGGAGTGACTGAGAGGGGGCGGTGCGTCTTAAAGGGAAGGGCAAAATGCCTTTAAGGCCGGAAACACGTCGGAGGCGGAAAACCACGCGCCTGCCCCGCCCCGGCGCGGCTCAGATCCCGGCCTGGCGCGCCCGCAGCCTTCCGCCGGCCGAGGCCCCGCCCCTCCCCGCCGCCCGCAGACAGAGGCCGGAGGCTGGCTGGTGCAGCGATGTTTAATGGCAATTCGTAGAAACCAAGCCCATGCACAAGTAGAAAGTGCTCGTGGAGCCGGCAGGAGGCTCCCGCCGCGCCAGGAACCACAAGCCCGGCCGTGCAGCCCTCCCTGCGGCGCCTTAAATAGATTCTTCACTATACTCTGTATGTTACATTATGTACAAGGCCCCTCCCCTCGGGGACGGGGCAGGACTCCGCAGCGCATTTCTATATACACCCCCCCTTTGGCCCCGAGATTGGTGGCCGGAGTCGGTCGGTTGACGGGGAAAGACAGGGCCAGAATGGGAGGAAACAGACGCAAACATGCGGAGTCGGGGTGGGGGCACGGTCAGCCCTGAAACACGAGGGGCGCGCGCGTAGCGAAGGCAGAGGTGGGACCGAGGCAGATACATTCAGAGACGAGTCGAACAAATAAATAAGGCAAGTCAGGAAGGGGCCGAGGTGGGCACAGGCAGGGAGGGAGCTGTGGAGAAGGGGCAGGCAGGGCTCCGGAGGTCACAGCTGAAGATGCAGGTATGTGGGGCGTGGGTCTTCTGGAACCGGGGACTAAGAGAAGGGGGCGCGACCCGGAGGGAAAAGGAGGAGGCAGGGGTGGGAGAGGGAGTTCAGCACTTCGGAGGGGTGGGGAGTGGAGACCCAGGATGGGCTAGCACAGAAGTGACGGGAAAGCTGCCGACAGGGGGCTCCCCCTCCCCCAGAGAGCCCTCTCCCTGTTAAGACTGCAAGAAGCGGCCCCCAGGGTGATGAGAAAGGCAGTGGAGAGGTCAGGTGGCCAGCCCGGGTTGGGGAAGCCCTTCCAGCTCCTGGTTCTGCTTCAGTTCCCTCATCCTGCGGAGAGACAAGGAAGGAATCAGAGGAGACCGGCTGGCTGATCAGGGCGGTGGGATGGGGAGGCGGCGGCGGGGCCCAGTCCTCCCCAGTGAAGGAAAGGGCAGCACCTGTGTCGGCAGCGCCTTAGGAATCGCATTATCTTCCGGGCTGCCTGGTCCTGCTTCTTGGTGAGAAAGGAGCCTCTGGTGGAAGGAAGAAGAGATGAGACCGCACCGGACACTCAGGAATCACCTGCCCTCCGCCCCTTAGGGACCTTGGCAGGGGGAGGGTGGGGGAGGAGCAGGATGATGTGTTGGGAGTCCATGGGCAGTGGGCGTGGACACAGTGGGTGCGCACTGAGGGCTGGAGGGTTGGGGCCGTACTTGTTGCGGGCAGGCAGGGTCCCCGGGGGCCGGCGGCGGTAGGAGCGGTATCGCTGCTGGATGAGGACTGCCGCTCGGCGGCTCTGCTGAAATCGCTTCTGTTCGTAGTAGCTTCGGAACTTGCTCTGGATCAGGATGGCCGCCTGGGTCATCTTCTTATAGAGTGCAAACTGCAGGGGTGGGGAGGAGGGGCAGGGGCTGACATGGAGGGACAGAGACCCAGACCCCTAAGGGTCACCCCCGACCCCGTTTCAAGTTCAGTCGATGCAAGTCTCTTTCTCTAATCCACACGCTCACGGAAGGAAAGGCTGAATCATCACAGACAGCCTCACACCCAGGTCTCATGCCTAATACCTTAAGTGCAATCCAGGTCAGCTTGTGGAGAGAAAAGGGGAGTTAGGGCTCCTGCAGCATTCTGGATGCTCTGGGATGGGGTAAGTGGGTGCGCATGTGGGTTGGTGGATATGCTTTCAAGAGAGGACAGCCTCACCTGTTTGTACTTCCGGTAACAGCGCTGGATCACAGCCGCTGCTACCTCCTGCTGTTCCTTCAGCCGCCGGCCCTAAGTGGCAAGAAGGAAGTCTCAGCACCTGGATCAGTTAGGAACTGCCCACCTAACTGACATCTGACCTCTTCTTCCAACGTGCCTGGGGTCCCTTGACCCTTCACCCTACCTTAGATCTGGATGATTGCTATCCCCCTCAAAGTCCTGGGAACCTATCACCTCCCCACTCAAGATTGTGTAATTCATCTCCTGAAGCCCCGAAGCCTCTGACCTTGTATTTTCGGAAGGCTGTCTGGATGACTCGGGCTGCCTCGTACAGTTCCCGCTGCTCATGATCTGACAGGGTCAGCAGGGCAAAGTCACTCTCCATCTTGCCACTGGCAGATGCGGAGAGAAACTCTGCCCAAGAAGGTGCTGGAGGGACAGCCAGGCGACCCCGCTCAAATGGCAGCTCGCTGTAGGGCACAGAGATAAAAGATGTCCTGGACATCTAAAGTCCCTCTTCTCCCAGTTGGGCGCTGCTCTGAAGGCAGAGCCTCAGTAACAGGGTCTGGAGAGTGACTTCAGAGCTCGCCAGCCAGTGCCAATCCCTTCCTCAAAGGCTCTGGCCATAGTGCAGCTTCTTCCCTCACTCTCTCCCTCCCATATTCCTCTGAAGGATCTAGAGGCTTTGTCCTAAGCTGGTCACCTTGGAGGGGCTGAGCTGGGGAAATGGTCCACATTCTCCAGGTAGCTGGCCAGCCAGGACATGGTCTCACTGAGCCCCACCGCTCCTGTCCGCTCCCGTATTGTGACTCCGGCCTCAGACAGCCCAACGAAGTCCTCTCGTTTAATCCGCTCTGGTGTGGCTTCAATGATCTGCTTGGCCAGTGAGATCATGTCCACCTGGATGAAGGAGAAGCTGGGTGAACCTCGAGGGGCCCCCCAACTGTTCCTGCTCTGCCAAGGCCATAGCATAAGTTCACTTCCTATCTTTCTCCTATCAGCACCTGACAGTGAGGCCTCATGGATGGCTGCCCCCATTAACCCTCTCTTTCTCGGCCAGTGTTCTAGGTTCACTTACACTCCTTGGGGTCCCACTCAGTACAGCCCTGTGTTGAGACGTTGTGGAAAACATAGGCTAGGAAGGATGTACAGCACATGGGGATTCAGAAGCTGGGAAAATGAAGGGCTTAGGCTTCCAGGCTGACTGCCCACTGTCCCACCCAGCCTGCCCATGCCAGCTCCCACAGACTTGGCCATGTCTGCCACCCCCTCCTCCCACAGACTTGGCCATGTCTGCCACCCCCTCACCAAGAATCAGCTGAGTCCTTGCCAATCATGTGACACCTTATTGACTAGCTCCAGCCTTGCCTCTGCTCCAGCCCTGCAGCCTGCAGCACTTCCTGCCGGTTTCACATAAAGCCGCCTACCGAGTGTTCTCTAAATCTGTTGCACTTTAGTGTTCCCCGGTTAATCCCTTAGTCTCTCTAAAGCAGATATGTCCCAGGCCCTAGCAGAGAAGCAGGCTGCTGCATGTGGTACATTCTCCACTCTCTCATGGGTACATTCATTCCACAAGACTCTTAGCTCTTACCATGTGCAAGCCTCCCCCTGCCCCCTAGTTAGTGCCAGACACTTCCGCTTCCATCTTGCCGACCTCTCTGCTCCTCCCTCCTACCCACTTCCTGCCATCGCTCTTGTCCGTTTATGGAACAACAGGTAACCCCTACCACCCAGTTCTAATTGAAGATATTCTCCAGAATTTTAACCTCTGAGGCCTCATAACTTCTGACTTCCAAGCTCTGACAGAAGCTTAAGCAGAGGGTTACCTTGCCTGTCCCCAAATGAGGGTAAATGACCCCTTCTTCCCAAACTGCCGCCCGGCTCTGGTTCTGTTTCATGTGGTGGCTGGCATCACCCCAGCCCTGCACCCCCCTCTGCTTGTAGCCCTCCACCTAAGTGGTACCGGGATCACATCCACAGCTGGTGGACTATCGGCTTCCTCGGGAGCAGCCCCACCGTCCAGGGCTGGTGGGAGAGGAGGCGGCGAGGGTGGGGGCCCTCTGGGGTTGGTGGCTTCATAGTCCATGAGGAATAGGGGGGCCTCTGGGGCACCAGAGGAGAGCTGGCCTGGGACCATCTCCATAGTCATCTCAGAGGCTGGCAGAGGAGCAGGGGGAGGACTCCCATCTGGGGCGCTAGAATAGGCCGATGTGACGGAGAAAGTGCCATCTGAGAGCTCTGAAGGTGAGGAGACACTGCTCAGGCCTGCGAGGGGAGGGAAGGGGGTGTGAGCATAAGGCACCACTTGCCCCCTCCTCACTCTCCATCTTCCTCGCCTTGCTGCTCTTACCTCCCCATCCCCACCACCTCCTCTCTCCTCGCACTGTCTCCCACCCTCCAGCTTTCTCCTGGCCTGTGTTTCCACCCGCATTCCCCTCTTAAACCCTCACCAGTGTCAGGGCTGGAGGAGGGTGGTGACAGGGCAAGTGGGGGCTCAGCAGAAGCTTCCTGCCTTTGCAGTTCTTCCAGGCAGCGGGCAAGGCGCACATGACCCCGGGAATGAGCCACAGATAGGGGCAGGCGGCCCAGAGAGTCAGGAATGCTCAGCGCCTGTCTGTTCCAACGGAAGAGGAGCACAGCAGCCTCCAGGTGGCCCAGGGCACAAGCCCACATCTGAGGAGAAGAAGGCAGAGGTGGAGGTGAGGCATGGGCCTGTAATTACTCCTTCCCTGCATCCCCCAAACAATCTTATCCTTGAAGAACTGCTCCCGTTTCCCATTGTTCACGTGTACTAGGAACCAGCATCCTCACCAGAGGGGTGCAAGAGAAGTGGTCCACATTGAGTGGGTCAACCTCTTGCTCCAAGTCCAAGCTTCCCGTCTCCACACTCCTGGAGGGTTTGGGAAAGGGACAGTGGAGCCCAGTTAGGGATAAAGGGGGCCCAGCAGGAACTTCAGAATCAAAGGGGCTGGTAAGCACTAAGGTCAGCAGGATGAGTAATCAAAGAGATTAACGACCATAAGGAGGTCAAGAAGTCAGCATTGTAAGTCAGAGGACATTAAAACTCCCCCAAGTGCAAACCCTGTTCCAGCCTCCCTTCCTTCCCACAGTGACCCCAGCTCCCATGGCAGGCCTCCAGTTCCTCCTCAGTCCCTGACACGCCCCCCACCCCAACTCCCACCAGCCCCAGCTCACCGCCACTGACTCAGGGTCTCGATGAGGCGGGCATAGCCCTGGGCAGCGGCCAGGTGCAGAAGGCTCATGCCCCGGAAAGGGCTTCCATGGGCCAAACGCTCAGGACCCCTCCAGGTGGAGCGTGGGATCATGCTTTCTACCAGGACCACCACCCGGGCCTCGAACCCAGGCCCCTGACCTTCATCCTGCGGTGCACACACCCTCAGGCAGAGACCTGAACATCCCCAGCCTGGGATGGCCTCAGCCACCCCACCCCTGTCCTCTCAGCTTCCAGTTCTGCCCCCTCCCTACAATTCCCACTCTAGGCTCCCACCACCCTGACCTCTGATGGCCGGTCAGTCCTCCCTGTCCCTCAGGCAGCTTTCTCCAGCAGCCAGACTCATGCCTGCATGCCCATGTAGTGTTTTCACTTTGGCTCAGATCAGTGCCATATCCATAGATGGCTTCTCCCCCTCAGAACCTAGAGTCCTCTCCAGCCTTCTTTCCTCAGAGTGCTGAGCCCCGACTTCTTGGATGCCCTCCCCCACCCTCACCTCCACCCTCCTTCAGACCAGAAATAGTCTGAAGCTTGTCATGCCAAGAGGGTGCCCAGAATAGCCACTCCTGGCACGGGGTGGGGGTGGGAGCAGGGTGATGTCACGGAGAAGGGAAGGGGACTGGCTGGGGCCTGGACAGCGAGGGAGTCACACACTAAAGCTGATTTCTACAGGAAGACCCTGCCCCTGCTCCCCACTATAGAGTGCCCTCATGGAGGTACCTGAATTGGAGGGGCGTCAGGAGCCTGGCAGGGGGCCTGCCCAGCTGCTGCAATCTCTGCCATCCGCTTCTCCATCTGCTCCAGTCGTTCCAAGATGGACATCCGGAACTGGTTGTCTGGGGGAAGAGGAGTGGGCATGGGGGGCTCAGTAAGCAGGGTCCAGGGGATGCCCTGGGCAACAAAGCTAGATCCTGTCCCAGGGTCTGAGTGATGAAGACACAAGCATATCCTTTCCTCTTCTTCATACAACAGCGCTTTACCCCCCCCACCTTCTGAATAGAGCCCCCCAGGACCAGTCCTCAGTCCAGGGCTCTCATACCACGTGTCCACCTAGGACCTGAATGCAGAACCAAGACTGTGTCCTTCAAGACATAGAGACGGTAGGACTCCCCGCTGGGTGTCCAGCCCCAGTTGCCCCAGATATCTCTCTCTCTCACACACACACACGCCCCAGATCTCACACACATATGCGCATGCACGTGTGCGTATTCCCAGCCTCCTCCCGGGTGGCTTATTTTGCTCCTTCTTGCCCCAGACGCTACCTTCGTCCCCCATGCTGGGGCTGAAGGACTTCAGGGTCCCTCCTCTCTGTTAATCACTGCCCCAAAGAACTCAGAGACTGATTTGAAAAGCACCACCCCCTCCTCCTGGCCCCCCGCAGCTGTCCACAAAGAGGATGGCGGGGAGGGGAGATGACAGAGATGGATGGCCAAGTCCATTTCTCCTCCTCCTCCCCCACCCATGCACAAATGCACACGCACACATCCCAAGCTATATCTGTCCCCTCCTGAGATCACACAAGGACAAGGAGGGGAGGCAGAAGGGGGTCAGGAAAAAAAAAAAAAGAAGGGGGTCAAAGCCGTGGGAAAACAAACAGGTGGAGGCTGGGGATGTTTTGAGATGACAGGACAAGAAGGTAGAGAGGGGATGGTGGGGAGGAGGGTAGAGAGGGCTGAGCAGAGACTCAAGGTATGAGAGCAGAGAGGGGAAGATAAACAAGAGGAAGGAGAGGAGAGAAAAAGGGCAAAGGAGAGCTGGGGATGTAGAACAAACAAGCAATAGGGAAGGGAGAGGGGAAGTGAAGACAAAAATCCAAGGAGGAATGGAGAGATGAGAGAGGCAGGAGACACTGGAAAGATGGTAAAGCACAGGTTAAACAGGAAGAAATGGAGACAAACCTCAAAAAAGAAGCAGATGCAGAGAAACAGTTCTGAAAGCCACAGGAGGGATAACTAGTAAAGGGGACAAACAGCTCTGGATTTAAACAAATACATACACACGTACACACATGTGTATGTATGTGCATCTCTGTGTTGGTATATGAAGATATATTAAAAAGTGGTGTATGTTATTGAGCATTGTTACACGGAATTTTCATTTTCTACTTTGTGCTTTTCTATAACTTCAAAATTTTCTATAATTAATGCCTGTCTTTATAACTAGAGGGAAAAACCATAGGAAAGTTCAAATACATTGTGTAGGGACATATACACTCATGTGTATCCCATGTATGTTGCTCTGCACTGTCACGGCCCCACCCATGGCCTTGATCCCTTCCTATGGACAGGACAAGTGCTGGGACAAAGCCAAACCAAAGGTTTGGCAAACCCCCAAGGTTTACAGGGAAGAGGAGGTGAAGGAAATCTGCTGCTCCTTCAGAAATGAGCAAGGAAGCAGGATCTGGGAAGAGGGGTACAGTGGGGGCAAGGCGGTGGCCACCCAAGTCCAGACGGGCCTAGGAACATGTCATGCTCAAAGGCGGTGGGGTCAGAGGGCTAGGAACTCACCGTCCAGTGACAGCCAGTCAAGCTGAGTGCTAGGCAGTGACAGGAATCGGCGGGCTCGATACTCAAAGAGCACAGACGCAGAAAGGGGCCCCTCACGCCCTGCCACCTGCAGAGACACCAGCCCAACTTCATGGGCTGGGGAGGGCAAAGATCAGCGAGACGGCTCTCTTTCCTGGGCTCCTTCACCAGAGCTACAGGGGGTCCTTCCACATCCACCTCCCCTACCTGCCCTGTTGTGGCCCCAGAGGCCCCTGGCTCCAGTGGCCTTGGCTCTAAGTGGGGAGGGAGTCCCTTCATTTGAGAACTTAATAGCTCCTCTGGGCCAGAGACCCCTTGGGTTCTAGATCCTGTAGTTAAGGATGTTGTCCAGCACCAAGGCATAGAAGCAGAGAGTCAGATACCTATGGGTAGTTTAGTCACCAAGTTGTGTCTGACTCTTGTGACCCCGTGAACTGTAGCCCTACAGGCTCCTCTTTCCATGGGACTTTCCAGGCAAGAGTACTGGAGTGGGTTGCCATTTCCTTCTCCAGGGAGTCTCCCCGAGCCAGGAATTGAACCCGGGTCTTCTGCATTGCAGGCAGATATTTTACCGACTGAGCCAGATGGAGGTAGGTGTGGAGAGATATCTATACATATAAACAATTTGATGACAATAAAATCTGTTTATCTCCTAAGATCAAGGTCCAGAGGCCTTAACTCTGTTACTAAGATGGGGGAAAGGAATTAGCTGCTCACCAACAGGATCAAGTGAGAGCAGTGTCCCAGGATCTCAATATCTATAGCCTTGAGAATGAAGCCACCAGGCCCTGGTCCCAAGATTAAAGGCTGAGACTCCCAATTCCCAGTGTCTCTGGTCTCAGCCCCTCTCCTGCCATCCACCACTGAACAGGGCTGCTGAGACTCGGGGAGGACACACTGACAGAGCAAAGCTGTCGACGTGTCAGTCCAGCGGTCCTTGGGGTCCCAGCAACACTGCTGGGTGTCAGGTGAGGGCAAAGCGGGGGGCAGGAGGGCAGAGATGAACCTTGGCAATGACATTCAGACCAGTGCTGTCCAAAAGAACTTTCCTCAGTGTTGGAGACATCCTGCATCTGCACTGTCCCCTAGGGGAACACGAGCACATGTGGCCACTGAGCACCAAAATGTGGTTAGTGTGACGGCAGAGCTGAACTTGAAACTTCATTTAATCTTAACTATTAATTTCAATAGGCACATGTGGCTCATAGCTAACATACTGGACAGCACAGGTCTTGAAGCCAATGTCCCAGTCTCAGAACTGGTTGGAGGAGACCAACATCACTCCCTTCTCATTCTCCCAAGAGATTCTCCTTGGATTGGAGTCAGTGGGCCTGGGCATGAGAGTCCCCTTGGGTTAAATGGCTGATCTTACAGAAGGGGAGGCCAAGGTCCTATGAAAGGAGTAGGCTTAGTCAAGACCACCCATCAGTTCAGCAGTAGATTTCTTGGACTAGAATCTAGACCTTCTGACACCTCAGCTCAGACTCATCTGCCTGCTGGGGGGCGGTGGCAGAGGGGCAACCACCAGGCTCAGCCCCAGGACTGGATGAGGTTGTTATGTTCTCAGGAACAACCCAACACGTTTGTTCCCAGTGCTTCCTGGGAGTCGTAACAGTCATATCTCAGTCCCTTCCCCTACCACCCCCAGTCCCCATACCGGGACAGTAGCAGCGTAAGACACCAGGCTGGACGAGTGAGGCTGGCACAGCGATGTGATCAAAGACACAGGAGTAATGTTCGGCGGCCTCTGTCCAAGGTCCTGTGATGAGCACCTTGACCCCACCCTGCAGGTGGAAGTCAGAGAGCCATATGACCGAGGCTCTCTCTGCTGGGTATAATTACTCACTCCTTCATTCCTTCAGACCCTGAGAGAGGACCTATTGCTCTCTGTACCCCAGGGTCTGGGGTTCCGGGTTTGGACATGGAGTGGGGTGACATTCACCCACTGTCCTTTCTCTCCACACTCCTGCCCTCTACTTGAATCTGCCAGAAACGGGGAACTCATTGCCTCTCCCAAGGCTACCATCCCATTTGCAGATAGCTATCACTGGGAGGAAGTCTTTTTTCGGGGCCCCCCGGTACCCCCACAGAAGTTCCTGCTTTCTATCTCTGGGGCAGCACAAAGCAGAACTTCACTGATGAATACAGTCTTTCAGCTTCTCAAAGTCTGCCATCACATCCCAGTTGGGTTTTCTCTTCTTCAGGCGGAACTGTCCCAGGCCCTCCCCACCCCTACCCAGTCATCAAAGGAATGAAATCCCCTGGAGCACTTGAGGGACTCACACAACCACAGGTCACAGGTAGAAGGAGGAGGGAAGGAAAAAGGGGTAGTCAAGAAGGCCTGTGAAAACCGTTAAGAAGCTACACTCTGTAAAGACAGAGGCTGGGAGGAGAACTAAGCAGCCATGGATGCTGAGGGAAATGAGGTCACTAGCCACAGGGTAAGAGGGATGCAGGAGGAAGGAGAGAAGTCTGAGACTCACCTCTGGGTAGGACCACTCTGGGGAGAAGTCTGTGATGGTGCTGAGAGCAGGAGAGAGCTGGGGGGCGGGGGCAGGGCCACTTGGAGTTTCGTCACTGATGAGTTCTCCCATGAGGTCCGGGAATGATGAGAGACTGAAGGGTTCTAGTTCGCTGGCCCCCCCAGCTCCTCCAAACAAGGCTTCCCCTCTTCCTACTCTGCCCGATGGCTCCAAAGGGGCAGGTGAGGGTGGGGGTGAAGAAGGGGGTGAAGGTACGGGTGGGGTAGCCCCTTGGGCTTTGAGCTCCTCTCCACTGTCATCATCCTGAATGAAGAAGCAGTTTCCCCTTCTCCCGCCTGCTCCAGACTGTGGAGGGAGACCCCGGGCGGCCACCTGAGGTTCCAGGGCAGCAGCGGGCTCAAGTGCTGGACAGGGGGTATGGGCGGCCTCGGCCTCGGGGAAGTCTGGGCTTACCCCCTGGCCCCCTCCATATGTCTGGCCCCTCTGCGGGCTGTTGAGAAAACGATCAGGATCAAAGGCAGGGCTCGGAGGGGCTGGCGGGGCCGAGGGCTCAGAGCCCACAACCACAGCCAGGCTCATAGGAGGCCTCGGATCGGCCTGTGGAGCCAAGTGCCTGGTGGGCGTCAAGCCCCCGGCCCGCTGCTCCAGTCCTGTCAGGAGGAGGATGGCGGTGCCTCCTCTGGAAGAACCCCCTCGGGATGTGGGAGGGCTCGGTCTGATCTCTAGGGGTTCTGCAAAGCCGGAGGAAGAGGAGGAAGAGGAAGAGGAAGATGGGGAGGTATGTGCCTTGGGGAGCTCTGGGGGAAGCGGGGCTATCAGTGGAGGTGGCTCAGGAGGATGGGGGTGGGGGACAGAGGTCAGGGTTAAAGCTCGGGGCTCCACTTTGGGAGAGATGATGCGGTGTTTCGTGCTGCTGCATTTGTGGGTGAGGCTCCCAGAACCTGGAGTGGAAGGGGTGGTGGGGAGAGAAAGGGTAAGACACATCTCTCTCCAGCCCTCCCTTGCTGGAAGCTGTCATGCATTTCCTGAGAAATCACTACATACCAGAGGTGTCATACTGCTTGTGGCCACTGGGAGGCGGCAGAAATATTTCTCCTCCCCCTCCCTCCCCTTGGAGAAACACTGCAGGGGAGGATCCAGGGCTTGGGGGAATAGCTGAGAGCAATAGGTGAAAGCATAGAAAATGGACAAAAGAACAGAACCAAGGGGGTGCCAAATAAAAATAAGGCTAAGCCTGTGTGTAAGCGGTAGTGCCAGGGTGGCCAGGAACTGCTAAAGGAAGAAAGCAGACAGAGTGCCCAGGCTGCCAGGAATAAGTAAAAGGAACTAGGCAGAATGCAGACGGGAAGGCCTCTGCTCATCTGGCCCATCCTTCTGGAACATGCAAAAGTCATGCAAATAAGCACGCAAATCCCAACAAGACAGATTCCCCCCTGGTGTGAGTAAAGGGCAGACTAGAGGAAGGAGGATTCCAATGTCAGGGGTCACTCACCAAGGCCCCCACTGCAGAGACAGGCGTGGGTTCGGGGTGCAGGCTTGGTCGGGTGGGTGTCCAGGATCTGCTGCACCAGCTGCTCTACGGAGAACTCCTCTGTCCCGTTTCCACAGCTCCACTTGATGCCGTGAACTGGAGGAGAGTTGGGGGGAAGTGCTGTAAGAGCCCCCATAAAATAGGCCCCAGAGAACTCTGATGGCTCCCCCAAGCACCTGAGATGCTCTGAGACTTCCAGCCAGAGGAACAGCAGCCAGAAGCCCCCTGACTGCTCCTACCTGGAGCTCACAGCTGGCCTCCATAGTCAAACACCTTAGATCACACCAGGAACCATGGTACCCACCCACCCACCCAAGAAAGAAGCCTCCTGGCTTGGGGCAACATGGTTACCCCACAGGCTCCTGAGTATAGAAACTTGACTGCCATGGGAGGCCCCTGGGTTCACTCTCCCCTTGGAGCTCTGTCCTGGCCCTGTTGCCTTACACATGGGCTTCAGCTGTCCCAAGAGCTCCTCCCGGGACCACTTTAGCCACTCTCGGCGGTCGCTGCTGATGGAACAGAAGATGGGGCTGCAGCCCTTTCCACAGTCTTCCAGGGCCGGGACGTTCAGGTAGTGCACAAGCACGATGTCAGGGTTCTGCGGGCACAAGGGTACAAACAGTGTGCTATGGGGTCCTGATGTCCAGGGGCTTGGCCTCCTAGTCTTCACTTTCTCCCCAGGCACCCCTAGCCTCACGCTCCCAAGTTCTGGCTCTCTCCATTCCCAAACCCCTTTCTCTTCTTCCCAGTCTCCTTTCCACACTCAGAACCTCGTCATCCTTCCCCTTCATTCCTGCAGACCCCCACCTCCCTCAAAGAGCCAGGTAGACTGTCTCCCTGAGCCCTTCCGTCCTCACCTGGAGCAGCCAGTAGCAGCGCCGATGGAATGTGGGGACGATGGAAGAGTGAACGTAGCAGCCATAGAGACACTGCCAGGAGACAGGCTGGGGTGGGGGGCGGGCTAGTCTGCTCCCCAACTCCTCCTCTGTTCAGTCCCTTTGCAGGAATCCCAATCTTGCCACCAGTTCCTCTTTAACCCGTACCCACCCCCACCTATTCCCCACACCTTTCACAACCCAGCACCCAAGTCACCCCGCGGTGAAGAGGAGGGGACAGTGGGGCCAGGACCTTACAACAAGGACCAGATTTGAGACATGGGACTATCCAGAAATCAGAGAGCAGGGCAATAACACAACTGAGATGAGGAGCAATGATTTGAGAGAAGAGAAACCTGTGCTTTGAGGTACTAAGTACTGTCAGACCCCTGCGGGAAATGCAAGAGAAGTGAGGGGATTGGGTATCTGCGGCCTCCAGAGGGAAGCATGGCCTGAGTCCTGGAGAATTGGGTCATGGAGGGAAAGCAGAGAGTGGGCTGAGCAACCACCCAGCTGATCCCGAGTGAGTGAGAAGTGAAGAGTGACTAACTGGGAGGGTGGCAGGCAGAGAAGGTCACCAAGCCCTGGCAGGGCTGGAACCCAGCTCTTAGGGAAAAGTGGGGGCCAGGGCAGGTGTGCTGGAGGCCTTGCTTACCTCCATGCCCTGGACCTTCAGCTTCATGTGGTCCTCTCGGGTGGTCTTCCCATCCTTCCGCTTCTTCCAGAGGTAACCATCCTTCCGGTATTTCACCTTCTTGCGGTTGTAGAGGATAATGGAGCCATTCTGAGGCCTGAGAAGGGAAGGACTGGCCTGGAGTTCTGTGGACAGAACCCAGGACCCCTGCTACTCCCCATCTTCACAAAACTTCTTACCTTGTCTTGGGGGCACATGATAGCCACTCGTCATGCTTCTCAAAGGTGATCAAGTAGGATGCAATCTCCTGGAGGAGAAGAGGCACTCAGGTGGGGGTCCCCTTCCCAAAGTCTCAGCCTGGCCTCTTGGGCCTCCTCATCTATACCTCAGGGATAAACGGCACCCCTGGAGGACTGTGTGAGAAAACGCAGGACAAGTGCTGAGCACAGTGCTCTGTTTGTAGGAAATACTTCGTAAGTGGTAGCATTTATACACAGGCGCATATGCCAAGGAGAAGTGAGCTCCTACAAGATGCAGGTCTTTATAGCTCTCCTGTGATCCCCAAAGAGCCTAGAGAGTGTTGAAAGGCACAGAGGGGAACTCCTCCAGCCTACTAGGCCCTGTTGAACCCCAATCCCCCAGGCTCCCTAGAAAACCTCATTTGTATTCCATCGGAGCCGCTCTGGAGGCAGCAGCGGGCAGCGAGGAAGACACTCCAGCAGCTTCTTGGGGAGAAATATCTTCAGGTGGTGGCTGTTCTCTAGAGGGGATGAGAAGGGAGGGCTTAGCGTGAGACATCCCTGTGAGAGCCCAGGGGAAAAGGGCCCCAGACCACTGGGGGGTGGGGTGGGGTGGGGGGCTGAGGGGGTGGTGGTGGTGAATGAAATGATGCCAAGGAGAGTAGGGATCCAAGAATTAGAAGGTCACCACCGCTTGGGGGAAATAAAAGGCTGTGCCCAACTTGGAAACCTGGACTGTGAACTCACCAGCAACCTCGGTGGTGTCCTTGGTATTCATGGTGAGGGCTCCAGGGGGCAAGGTCACCCCCGGCCTGAGGGGCCGGGGGGAGGGGGAGTCTGTGCTGGGAAGGGAGAGAAGAAGGTCATGGCAGAAGCCCCCACACTATCAAGGATGAGGAGAACGAGGTGAGAGACCTGGTACAGAACTGGGTCGTGATTTCTGAGGAAGCCAGAGGAAGGGGCTGGACTGTGATGTCAGAGCACAGGCAGGGGATGGAGAAGAGGGAGAACACAGACATGGTGCCAGGAACCAACACGAGTGGGAGACACAACAGAACAGAGTAATCAGGAAGAGACCGGCGGGGTGGGGGAGGGGAGAAGGCCGGCGGGGGGGGGGGGGGCGGCGTTTACAGCCCTGGCTCTTGCAAGGCTGGAGCAGCGGTGGGGTCAGACCCTGGGGCTAGGATTCACAGCAACCGGTCCTTGAAGGATGGTTTGACAAATGAGAGCCTGGATGTTGGGGGGAGGGCAGGAGTTCTAAGTCCGGGTGGAGAGCTAGGCCTTAAAAGACACACCCTGAGTTCCTTCTCTTTGATTTTTCCAGGGGGAAGGGCAGATCTGACAACTGATCTTAACCTCCACCCTTTCCTCCAGATTGGTGGGGCCTGAGTAGAACCTGGTTTAGACACCCAGGACCCAGCTACCCAACCCCAGGTCAACCCATCCTCCACCCTGAGGCTGACCGCCTTGTTCACCCCACCGTACCTCTATCCCCAAAGCCTCTGCTTCCCTTGGCCTCCAGGCCTATCCTACCCCATCTACCACTCTGGCTCCAGCCTGAGCCCCCACCCTCTTGGGGGAACAGATGGAAGCTGGAGGATGCTCTCAGCGCGGGCTCCGCCAGGTGTCTGGGAATGGAGAGGGGGAAGAGGCCCGCCTGAGCACGACTGTGAGCCCTGGAGCCTGGGTTGGGGTAAGGACTCCGCCCTAGGGCGCAGGTGCGCAGTCCGGGATGGGCAGCCCGCCAGGGTGCGGAGCGGGCCCGTGGGCGGCCCCCCGAGGAGGGGCGGTGGTCAGCGGAGACGCTCCGAGGTGGGAGGGTTCCGCCTCCCGCCCGCACAGAGGGATGTCCTGGAGAAGCTGCGGAGCAGAGTCCGCGGGCGCGTGGCAGGCAAGGGGCAGGGCAGGTGCCGGGGTGCGGGGTTCCCCGGGACGGTCCGGCCCGGCAGGTCCGCTGTGGGGCCCTGCGCCGAGCGGCGCCCCCTGGCGCGGGGGAGGAGGACGGAAGCGGGGAGTGAGGGCGAACCCGGGAGAGCGCCGGTGGTCCCCGGCGCTGCGCGCCAAGTCCGGGCGGTGAAGCTGCGCCCTCTGGCGCGGGGGCGGAGAGGCGGGCGAGAGGCCCCGGCTCTTACCTCCCGGGGTCCCGCGGGTGACGGCGGCAGCGGCCATTCTACCCCACACCGACCCCCCCCCCAGCGCCGGCTGACAGCGGCGTCCGACGTCACTGCGCACGGGGCGGGGCTTCCCAATTAAGGGGATGGGGTTCGGGACGGGAACCTGGGGTCAGCATACGTCGGGCTCTGGGTGGGGCGCTGGCCGGAGCGACTCGGCTTCCAGGGCCGCGAGCCAGGCGGAGGGACGGGCTGCCGGGAAGTCCCAGAAGGGGCGGCCGCGCTGAGGGGCAGGATGCGGGGTCCCGGAGGCGGAAGCTCCGCCGACTGACATGATCTCGGCCCGGAGAGCCGGGTGGGGAACACTGGAGCGGGCAGGACTAAGTTTTCGAGTACAACTCCTTGAATCTGGGGGTATCAGCCCAACTTCATTTTGGCGGGGATATCGCGAAGCTGAAAGGAGCCCTCCCTCCCCATGAGCCTCCCCATCACTACATCTCGGACAGAAAGACAACTCTGGGCTCCACTTGCTTACTTTTTAATAACAGAACGAAGAAGAGAATAGTGGCAGGGAGCCTTGGGGGGTTCCTCTGATGGAGAGGAGAAGCCATCGGCGCTGTTCGTGCCTAGTTCAGAGGAGGGGAGAGGAAGATGGCCAAGGAAAGGATGTCCCAAATACTGGAGATTCCAACTCCCAATCCTGGGCCCCTGAGGCACGGCCAGCGTCTTGGGCTTGGACAGTTTCTCCCTACTCCTCAGACTGTAGTTCCACCCCCCAGGGATAGTAAAAGGGGTTCCTAGTGGCTGTGACAGTGCTGAAGGGACCCATAGAGCCCAGCTGCCTGGAGAGACAAGACCCCTCCTGGCCCAAGGGACTCCAGGGAGACCAAAGCAGCTGTAAGAAAAAAAAAAAAAGAATCAAACAATAGGTCTTCAGATTTCCGAGGCCCCAAACCCAGGTACCCCCAAGTCTAAGGATCTGGCCTACTTTCCTTTTGTTCCTCTCACATCCAGCTATCCCATGTGGTTCTTGGCTTCCCTTGTCTCCCCATGCAAGATCAGGGATCCATATCACCACCCACCAAAGTCCTCTTCAGCCATCCATACCTGGGCCCTGCCAGAAGTGCGGAAGTGGTCCTCCTCCTGTGGATAGTCTGCCCTCTCCTCTTCCCGATCAGGGTGTTCTGTGGTGCTGGGGAAGCCACAGCCATCACTGTCAACCAGTAGAGGCCCAGATGCAGCCCCAGAGCTGCCCCACTGGGCCTTCTTCAGCCTGTGGAGACTTAAGGCTTAGGAAAGAGGGGCCTTAGAGGCCAGGCTTCCTGTCTCTCCAGTCTTCATCTTCCCGCCCTGAACTAGTTCCTGCTGGGACCCAGGAGTGTTATCATTTGACTTCCAACTCTCCACTTTCAACCTTCTGCTCCCCTCAGACTGAAGTGGTTTCCCATCCAGGAGCTCAGAGGTAACCTCTAGCTCTGCACCATCCTCCAGTTCTGTGGAGTGCTTTCCTGTCTTCAGTGACCAGGGTTCCACTCCTTTCAGCTCAGGTGACTAATCCCCCATGTTCCCGCCTCCTTCCCACATTATGGGAAACTTTGCTTCAATCTCACCAAGACCATGGCACATTCCCAAGCAACCTCCAATTCCCTCAAAGCTCTCCACCTCTTCCTTAGTTCAAGCCACCCTGTCCCCATACCGTTTGGCTCCCAGAGCCTAGATGTCTCTCCTTACTCATTGATGATTCTCTGTCGCCTCCTTAGATCCTCCAAGTGATGAGTGACCGCCCTTACCCGGGCTGGGATGCCCCCAGATCCCTGCTGCATTCCTCCCGAATGTGGCCTCCTCCTCTTTCTTCTGCAGAGCACCTCAGGAGGTGGGAGTCCCTCAGGGCCATACTGGCCAGGCTGGGAGCAACCAGTGGCTCTCTGTACCAGAGAATGGGGAGAGGGAGCTGAAAGGCAGAACTGAGTCTCTCGGGGGAGCTGGGACTGAAATAGGGAACCAGGGGTCTTGGGAAGACCAGATTACAAAAACACGGCTGTGATCTGGAAAACATGATGACTGATTCATAGGGAGGAAGGCCTGCTCAGTGCACTAGCTGGGGGAGAGCAGAGGGAAGGGGGAATAAGGGGAGCTGGGGATGGGATGGCAGTGGGTGTGATCTTAACCAAGAAGTGTCAAAGGGCAGAAAGTTCATCATACCAGCAGGGGTGGGGTGTACTGTTCCTCCATCCAGGTGGGGCTGAAAAGCACAAAAAGGGGGCTAAATGCAAAGAGAATATCCCTATCCATGTTGTTTCTCTAACAACCTCTCCCAACCACCTACCTGGCATGAGGAGCTACCATGTCCATCACTTGGTGGGGCAGTTATCCTGAGACTAGGACTTATTGCTACCATAAGGCTTTCTGGTAGTTTAAAATTGTACAGCCTCCCCTCCCCACCTCCAGTTAGTCCCATTTCTCCATTTCTCCCACCTGGGCCTTTGACTAAGACTCTCCCAGAAGGTGTCTCCATAGCGCTGGGGCGTCAGTCTGAGGCTTTGGGAAGGCAAGCCGGGGGGTGGAGATCGGCTGACCACCCTAGAACACCTGAGGTGAGGACAAGGTAGGCTCAGGTTTGGCTCTTCCCTTACAGCACCTACTCACTCCAGGGATTCATGAGTCTTATCTTACCACGGGACCACACAGCTGCCCAGGCTCCCTCAGGCCATGTGCTCCCTTATCCATTTTAGATGAGAAAGGTGGTGAAGACTTTGATTTGAAAGGAGGTTGGAGCTGGAGTGAGCATGGAGATTAGCAATTGTCTGAGCCTCAGATCTCACTGAATCTCAAACTTCTACACCCCACAACCAGAGAACATCATACTTAGCAACCAGGGCTGTTAAAGAGGAAAGCCCCGGCTACTCAAGTGATTCAACAGGTTCCTTTTAGTCAATGCAAGGATCCAGGAGAGCAGAGTCTCTGTTCACTCCTGCTATATCTCCCCATTTCAGAAGCACTAGGGGCTACCCTAGTTGTTCAGTGGTAAAGAATCCGCCTGCCAAGCAGGAGATGCAGGTTCGATCCCTGGGTCAGGAAGATCCCCTGGAGAAGGAAATGGCAACCCACTCCAGTATTCTTGCCTGGAAAAATACCATGGACAGAGAAGCCTGGCGGGCTGCAGTCACAAAGAGTTTGACATGACCTAGCAAGTAAACAACAACTCAGAAATACTAATATCCTTTAGGTAGGGTGTGCAAAGTTGTTTGAGAATAGTTCTCATCACTTCTAAAGCCGCCAGACTGACTGTCCTGATGTCTGCTCTCCTGCTATCCAGAAGAAAGTCCCAGGGCTTCAGCCGTTTATCTTCATCCCTCCGTAGGTGATCTCACCCAGGTCCATGACTTTAAATACCATCCATGTGCTGATGACTCCCAAATCTATATTTCCAGCTCTGGCTCCTCCCCTGGACTTCAGATTTGCAGGTTCAACTGCCCACTCAACACCTCCTCCCTAGCTTTCCCCATCTTGCCAAAAGGGACCCCAAACGAAGAGTTGCTAGAACCAAAAATCTGGTATGCCTCACTCTCCCTCACCCTTCATATCCAACCTATCAGCAAGTCCTGTGAGTTCTACATCTGAAATACACTCAAATTTAACTACCGCTCACCATTTCCACTCCCACCACCATATTCCAGCACGTTTTCCCCTCTTTGGACTATTGCAATTGCATCCTCCTCCATTCCCTGCTTCCATTTGAATCCCTCAACAATCTAGTCTGTAAAGAGCAGTCGGAGTAATCTTTTAGAAATGATTATGTGAAATAATACCCTGTTTAAAGTTACTTCAAAATGGTCTAAGTATCAGGAGGCTGAATGGGTGTATCAAGAAAAAAATTATCCACCAGGGACTTCCCTGGTGATCCAATGGTTAGGACTCAGTACTCTTACCGCTGAGAGCCCAGGTTCAGTCGTTGGTTGGGGAACTAAGATCCCACAAGCCGAGTGGTGTATCCAGAAAAAACAAAGATTGTTCATCTAATGATAATTATTGCAGCTGACTAAAAATGGTACTCTGGTTTCGTGGTTACTATTTTCTCTACTTCTGTAGTTGTTTGAAATTTTCCATAATAAAAAAGCTGAAGGAAAAGAAAGTCTGCTCATGTCATTTCCTTGCCTAGAAACTCCCACTGATTTCTACTGTCCTTAGCATAACGTTCAAATTCTTTTCAATGGCCCATACAGTCCTATGTGATCTGGCCTCTACCTGTCTGCCTTTACTCCACTTTTGCCTTGATCACTAAGTTTCAGTTATGCTGATGGGCTTCCTGGTCCTAGAAGACAGAAAGTTAGTTCTTTTCTTGGGACTTCGTTTTGTTTTTTCAAACCTACTATTCCTTCTTCTATCCCCTGGATCTTAGCAGACTGGCTCCTCATTTTTCAGATCTCAATTCAAACTCATCTCCTCTTCCCCTTCCACAGTCACACTCTATATACTTGTGTCTCAGAGACATTCTACTTATACTGTACATTTGTTTTATTTTTTCATGTGCTTACTACTATTTGAAATTATATTTATTCATATACACATTCTATTTACTCCCTGTAGAATGTTGGCTCTATGAGCAGGACCCCTATCTTTCTAATTGCTGAATCCCAAATTCAGTGCCTAAATTTAGGCACTAATATTCAGTGCCTAAAACACTATAGTGTTCAAAAATAATTTGCTGAGTAAATGAATAAATCACCAATCCCCTGAGAGCCAGGTACCGAGATTTCGTACTACACTTGGGGAAGAACCCAGACATGGAATCCTGCCTCTGTCTCATCCCCCCTCCCCCACTATGTGGGGAGGACTCACTTGGCAAAAGGGATAAGGTTGTCTGCATCTTCCTGTACTTGCATGACTGGACTGGGTTGGGAGGTTGGATTGAGTCTCCTCATTGGTGCTGGGAAGATAATAGAAAATGAATCATTCACTCACATAATTCACTATGAGTAACTGTAAAGATTGGAAAAATGTATAGGTCCAGAAGAAAGGAAAGCTATAAACGTATTTCAAATTCTGAATATTCTCCTTAGCTGAATATACACAATCAAGACAGCAAACACAGGAAATGTAGAAATGTGAAAGATAAAAAAAAAAATCACTTTTCCAAAGTCAAATACACAGAGTAAGTGAAATTGACAGATGGCAGTTGAGTGACTTAACTGGCAATATGGGATAATGAAATGAAAAAGAATGAGAGGTGAATTAGAGCCAGAGGCATTTAGGGATAATTGGTACAGAACTGGTGGCTGGGGCCAGTTAGAGAACTGAGGGTTGGTAAACAAACCAGGAATGAGGTGTTAATAAAAGGTAAGTGTGGACAGAACTGTCAACTGGTGACAAGGAAAGAGGGGGCAGTGGGAATGTCTAGAGATGTAAAAGGTGAGCAGAGGTCAGTTACACAGGACCAGAATTCCAGACAGCAAAAGGTGACCTGAGAGCTAGCTGGGATGGGCAGACAATGCAGATAAGAATGTTAGATGGGTTAGGAGAGGCAGCATAAATGCCAGAAAATTGGAAACTGTTGCAGGTGAATAAGTATTTATTCAAAGGTAACTAAGATGGGCTGAGAAAGGAAATGAAGAATGAGGAGAGGAGTATTTAGAGCTGAGCTGGCAAATGCCAATAAAGCTGGGCTGAAAGGGCAAATGGGATTTTAATGGAATATCTTGGGCCAGAGCAGAGAGCATGTGGCCGCTGAGGGACATTCAGACCTTAGATAACTGGTGTCTAGTTGGGTGATCCAGAGCTAAGAGAAAGATGGGGCTAAGGAAGATAGAAACAGTCCTGGACGGTTGACGGGCTTGCGGCGGGGCGGCGCGGGGGGGGGGGGGGGGGCGGGCAGCCAAGTCTGGGAGGGGAACCTGAGCCTGATAGGGCAGAAGAGGACCCGAGGAATCTGGTCGGGCTGAGGAGTTAGCTAGAGCCTGGAGGTCGTTGGGGGTGGAAAGCCCTGTCCGGAGGGAAGGCTTGGAGGAAAGCCCTTTAGAGGGCTCAAGGGACCCTTGGCAGCTGACCGAGGCGTGAGGAGCTGCTAAGCTTGAAGGCACAATTTGGGGGCTGAGGAGTTCATGTGGCTTCCAGGTGGTGGGCCCTGCGGGGCTGAGGCCTGCTGGGGCCAGGCTGGGCAGGCAGGGGTGGCCTGGGCCTGAGGGGGCGACACGGCACTGCGGGCTCAGTCGAACCTAAGAACCCGGCAGAGACACAACACCCGGGTGGTGGTGCCGCTGCCGACTGCACTTGGCCAAGGCACCTGAGGCAGCTACGCGTCGAATTCTAGAACGTTACACCAAGCGCTGAGGAGGAGTGAGGCGGCGACCGGAGCCGGGGGCGGAGCCGACCAATGCCTCGAGCCTTGGGGCGGGGCCTGAGCCGCACCACCTCCTGGGCGGGGCTTGGAGGGCGGCTCCGCCCCCTGAGCGCGCCTCCGACGGCGGCGACGTGCGCGCGTCAGGGGCCTGGGTACCCTACCCGGGTCCGCCCCCACCTTTCCCGGCTTTTCTGGCGCTGGCCTCCCGAGTCCCGGCGTCCGGGTCGCCCTCCCGCGTCCGCAACTCGGTTCCCCTGTCTCCGCCTGCTGGGCCCCTCAGTCCCGGGGACGTTGCCCCTTTAACAGCTGTCCGGGTCGCTCCCGGGCCATTCTCGCGACGGCGCGCGCCCGCCCTCCCATCCGCGCGCGCGCGCCCGCCGGTCCCCCGCCCCTTGCTCCCGCCCCAGCTCGCGCTGCCCGGGCGGGCGCCGGCCGCTGGCGCCGCTACTGCTGCCGCCCCCGGGGCGCGAGTCCGCCGCCCGCCTCCCGGGGACCCGGCGAGGGGTGGGGGCAGCCCCGAACCGGCCCCGGATCGCCTCCTCTCCGGTCTCACGCTTCCCGGAAAGTTCGTCCCTTTGCACTCTGCCCAGCCGCTCCGGGAGCCCCGCCGCGACGAGGTGAGAGCTGAGGAAGGGGGGGGGGGGAGGGGGTGAGGGAGGGGACGCCCGCGGAGGAATGTGCCGGGCAGGGGGGCGGGGAGCCGGGGTCCCGGTTTACACCCCTCGGTGGGGGCCGGCTGGCCGCGGGAGCCGGGATCATGTGCTGTTTGTCCCGCGGAGGCGTAGAGGGGTGCCAGGCCCGGGCCGGCCGTCGGTTGGCTGGACTGGAGGACAGGATCCGCATGGCCGCCCAGAAAGGCCGAGCCGGGGGCCTGTGTGAAAACTGCGGGGCGGGCAGGATGCAGGTGGCCCGAGGACCCCTTTGCGGTCAGTCGGTCTCACCCCAGCCGCGGCTCCTCCCGGTACCCCCTGCCCCTGTACAGTGCACCGGCCAACCCCTTTACCTCTCTTTGAGTCCTTTACGCCCGCAGACCCCCAGCAGTGCCACCCCTTTCCCAGTCCCAGAAGCTGTCAGGGCGTCACCACAGCGTGTCCCCATCAGTGTCCCTTCCCTCCACCACTCAGGGTCTGGGGGTCAGGGCTGTTCTTCTCCTAGACAGCCTCTGTGGTTTCAGCTACTCCTTGTCCTGGACAGACCTGCCCTCTCACCTCTCCCATGCCCTGGCCAGAAAGGCTGGTGAGGTGAGGCCCAGCAGGACAGGGGTTTGAGGCCCTTGAGGGCCACAAAGGAGGACCCAGCATCCCTGATCTCTATTCACAACCATCCACCCTGTTGTCCGTGGGTGTGGGCTGCTCAGCTTCTCCTCCCTGGGTGTGGGCACCAGATCACCCACATTCCTGGGCTCCAGCCTGGCACCTTCCCCAGGGCAGTGGACGCCATTGCACTAGCCCCAGGCTGGAGCTGGGACCTGCCTGCTTCCTTTCCCTTCTCTCGCTTTTCAGGGGGACCCTACTTCCCCTAAGCACAGGTATTCTGGATCCTTAACAGAGGACCCTGGGGGATGGTAGGATGGTTACAGGATAACCCCACCCTCTCCTGCCCATTGTCCTGGAGCCTAAAGAGGAAGTGCTGGGGGCTGGGCAAGGGGTTTGGGGCTTACAGGCAGGCCCTATGGAGCCCAGTTCTGGGCTGTATCTCCAGCCATTGGACTTTGCCCATCAGCAGTCCCTCCCTCTGTGTGCAGGTCATGGACCCTAGGTGGGAAGTAGTTTCTACTTCTCCCTGACTGACCTTGTCAGGAAATTTTAGGGCAGGTCTTATGTTTGGGATTTTCTCTCATCTCATTTCTTTTCTGGGCTTTACAGTTTGTGCTTTAGTATTGCCTGTTGAACATTTCTGTGTTTGCTGTCCTCTAGGTCTTCCTTTCCATTTCTTCCATTATTTCCCTTGTAGCATAATCTCAGTCTTGGTCTCTCTGGTTTTCTTAGTGTCATGGTGTTGGGGACTTTCTGCCCCTGCTTCCCACTGGCCTCAGTGTCTCTGCCCATGTGTCTGAATTGTCTTCTGTCCAGCCTCTTTCTCTCTTCTCTATCTGAACGTCCAGTACACTTGTGAGTGACGAGGAATAAAAATATCACCATCCCTGCCCTTGGATTCACATTGCATTTGGCCACTCCAGAGGGACAGCCGGCCTCACTTTTTGTGACATTACCCCCTACCCCTTGCCCTCCAACCCTGGCAGCCCAGACACACCTCTGGAGCCATTGGTGCCTCCTAACCACTCTTCCCCCACAACCAGGGTTTCCCCCACAGCCCCAGTTGGTGCGGCCAGGCCCCCAGTGTAGGATGGGGCTCCTCCTACGAGGGCCGGTGGCAGCCAGAACTGATACAGCTCCCCTGGTCTGGGGCCAGGACGCCAGGTAACTCTGGGATGACAACCCAGGTCCCTGTGAGCTGGGATATGGCTGGGGAGAGAGGCAGGTGCACCTCCAGGAGTCCCTGAGGAGAATGACATTGGGAGGAAGGCCAGGGGAACAGAGACTGGGTCTTTGAGGGGCTGGGTAGCTGGGGACGGGGCGGGGTGGAGAGACTGGTTCCTGGGAGAAGCTGGGAGGCGACATCTGGGTCCCCCCAGCCCCTCTGACACCGCCTCTGTCTCTGTTCTCCAGCTGAGGAGGGTGGGCGTACCGGAGCCATGGCTGGCGCCTCAGTGAAAGTGGCAGTGAGAGTTCGGCCCTTTAACGCCCGTGAGACCAGCCAGGATGCCAAGTGTGTGGTCAGCATGCAGGGCAGCACCACCTGTGAGTGAGTCCCAGGGGCCCGGCTGGGCACAGGCAGGGCAGGCTAGGCCCACTATACCGGCCAGGCCTGCTGGGCCGAGCTGGGAGGAGGGCTGCGCTGGGCGCAGAGCAGGTGCTGGTTGTAAGGACAGGGGCTGGCCTTGCCATGCGCCCAGTCCCTGGGAGGGGGAATGTTGGCCTGAAGCCCTCCATTGCCCAATCCAGGGAGGCAGCCGGGAGGGGGGCGGGTCCTGGGAAGCCAAAATTAGCTTCAGTAGATGGAGGGGGTGGGGAGTGTTAAAGGGGAGAGATGAATTAGGATAGAGGTGGGGAGTGGGATACCTGGATTCTGGGAGCTTGTGGGGAGTGGGCAGAGGTTGGGAGTACCTGACTTTGGCCTTACTTTCTTTGCTGTCAGCCATCATCAATCCCAAACAGAGCAAGGATGCCCCCAAAAGCTTCACTTTCGATTACTCCTACTGGTCACACACTTCGGTGAGGTTGCTGGGCTGGGGAAAGAGCTAAGCAATGAGGGACAGGGGCTTTAGGTCCTGGGGAAGGGGGGCATTGCTAGGAAACTGGACCTCCAGGGGATGGGTTGGGAGGACCAGCACCCATGGGTGGGGGTAGGTAGGACCCTGTGCCTTTGACTCTGACTGGGAGGGGGAGGCAGAGTCCCTGGGGAAATGAGGACCAGCAGGAGACCAGATGGGATCTTCTGGGACAGTTAGGACCGTGATGGGGGTGGGGAGCACACAGGACTTTTGGGTACCTGGGTACCAAGGACAAAGTCATTTAGGGTTCCTGCTGTCTCTCTTGCCCCCTTTCACCTAGGCGGAGGACCCCCAGTTTGCATCTCAGCAGCAGGTGTATCGGGACATTGGAGAGGAGATGCTGCTCCATGCCTTTGAAGGCTACAATGTGTGCATCTTTGCCTATGGACAGACGGGGGCTGGGAAGTCCTACACCATGATGGGGCGGCAGGAGCCGGGGCAGCAGGGCATCGTGCCCCAGGTACTCATGGGGCCTGGCAGGGAGGCCAAGGCGGGAGCATCTTCAGCTGCCTCTAGGGGAGGAAGGCCTAGGTCTCAGGGTGACGGCTCTCTGAGGTCCTCAGAAATAGGGAAGGTGTTGGGGGTTGAGGTTGGCCACAGCCTGGACTTCAGGGCCAAGAAGGCTCAGTGAGAAGAGCCACTGCTTTGGTGGCAGAGAGCACTGGGTCTGAAGCTTGCTTCTACCACTTTCTGCTGTCTTACCTTGTCTCGGAGAATTATTTGCAAGTGTAGCTCTGCTGTAGACTCATATACCATAGTCAAGGCATTGACCATAGGAAAAACCAGTTGTGGATAGCTGAGAATTGACCCATATTATCCCTGACTGCAGCACTGTGGCCTTGCACATGGGCTCTGGGTTCGCATTTTGGCTCACTGAATACTAGTCTGAGATCCTGGGCAAGCCAACCTCTCAGAGGTGGCTCTCGCTTCTGTAAAATGCGAACGATCCCCTCCCTCCCTTGGGGCTGTGGTGAGGGTTAAACAGGGTCACCGGAGACCTGGCCTGGCCTGGTGCTGGGCTCCACAGGTGTGTCATGAACAGCAGCGTCTCTGTGCCTCTCTGTGTCTCCCTCCAGCTCTGTGAGGACCTCTTCTCTCGTGTTAGTAAGAACCAGAGTGCTCAGCTATCCTATTCTGTGGAGGTAAGCCCAGGTTTTGGGAGGGGGCTGGCGGTGGTACACAGTGTCCCCTGGGTAAGGAGGAGGCGAGCAGAGTGACTAAGACCAGGGCATCTTTGGAGTCAGGCAGCTTGGGATCTATTCCAGGCTCTGCCAGTTAGTGACCAGCTTTGGGCAAACAATTTCTCTTTCGGCTCCTGAGGATGTTTATCTAAAATGATAATGATCAGGGGCCCCTCCTAGGGTTATTGGGAGGATCAGGTGAGCTTGTACTTGTAAAATGCCTAGCAATGCAGAGTAAACATAGCGAACACTCCGTGTTACCCGTGTTGTATGCAGTGGGAGTCCAGGGTAAGTTTTACACTGGGTATGGTTGTTAGCTTTGTGGTGTTTAGTTTGCTTCTCCCACTCAGGTGAGCTACATGGAGATCTACTGCGAGAGGGTACGAGACCTCTTGAACCCCAAGAGTCGGGGCTCTCTGCGGGTCCGAGAGCACCCCATCCTGGGCCCCTATGTGCAGGACCTGTCTAAACTGGCTGTGACCTCCTACGCTGACATTGCTGACCTCATGGATTGCGGCAATAAGGCGCGGTGAGGCCGGCTGACGGGGTGGAGGGGTAAGGGAGCCGGGGTTAGGAAGATGCGGGGCGGGACCCACTGACTACTCCCTCCCCCACCCAGGACCGTGGCTGCCACCAACATGAATGAGACCAGCAGCCGTTCCCACGCTGTCTTCACCATTGTCTTCACACAGCGCTGTCACGACCAGCTCACTGGACTGGACTCAGAGAAGGTAGGAACCCGCTCCCGCCTGGTCACAGAGACCGAGATGAGATCAGCCGGCCTTGTGTCCTCCCTCCCTGCCCAGGCTTGGTCGAGGGCCTCCTCTGGGCTTCCACAGCCCCTGCCCTGTGCTTTCTCCATCAGATCAGTGGGATACAACCTCCTGTTTGAGTGTTTGTCCTTCTTACTAGATTTGTCAGGGCAGGGCTGGGAGCCCACTGTGCCTTATCCTGGCACACAGCGGGCATGTGAACATCGTAAACAAATAAGTGAACAAATGGACAAGTAACTAAGCCCTCACTGTCTTATCTATTCCCCCTCCCTCCCCCACTCCTGGCTTTCTCCATCCCCCGCTAACTGCCCAGTCACCTCCTGCCTCCTTTCTCTGACCAGGTCAGTAAGATCAGTTTGGTGGACCTTGCTGGCAGCGAGCGGGCCGACTCCTCAGGGGCCCGGGGCATGCGCCTAAAGGTGAGGCACTTGGGCGGGATGGACAGGGCAGTGTTGGGCGCTGAGGGCGGTGGTCTCTGCTTGTAACCTGGGGCTTTGGCTGTGGCGAGGAGGGGCGAAGGGGATCGGAATGGGAGAAGGCCTCATTCCCCACGTTCCTCTCATCAGGAAGGCGCCAACATCAACAAGTCCCTGACCACTCTGGGGAAGGTGATCTCAGCCCTTGCGGACATGGTGAGAGCTGGATGTGGGAAGAGAAGGGACTCTGGGAAAGTGAACAAAGTGGGTGGCCACCCTGACCCCCCTTCCCCCTTCCGTCCTTCAGCAATCAAAGAAGCGGAAGTCGGATTTTATCCCTTACAGGGACTCTGTGCTCACCTGGCTGCTCAAGGAGAATCTGGGTGAGGGACTCCTCTCTCTCTCTCTCTCTCTCTCTCTCTCTCTCTCTCTCCCCACCTCCCCCAACCCTGCCACCAGTCCTGCTAACCCCTGTTGATGCATCTGACCAGACCCACTGCCGCCCCTGGGACCTCAAGTCCTCCAGTTGTCCCCTGACTCCCCGCCGGAGCCCGGGGCATCCTTTAGACAGTGTCCTCATTCCGAGATCAAGGCCACACCGTCCCTGCCAAGCCAAGGGCCTCACTGACCTGGGGCTCCCTGTGACCCCTCAGACCCCACAGCCACCTCTGACTTCACCCTTCTCTCCCTGACCTCTGACCATCCCACAGAGGTCTGATGTCCCCACTTTCTCTGACTGTCAGTTTCATGATCAGCTTCACCAACTCTTAGCTTCGCCTTACCTTGAACAGCGACCCTCTCAGACCCCTGCCTGGGCAGTGAGGCCCCCCTGCCCCTGAGACCCCGTCTGACTTTTCTTAGAACTCCGCCCGGCTTAAGTTTTCCTGTGCTCTCCATTCACAGGTGGGAATTCCCGCACAGCAATGATTGCAGCCCTGAGCCCCGCGGACATCAATTATGAAGAGACTCTTAGCACCCTCAGGTGGGGCTCTGGCAGGGCTGGGGTGGGACATGAGAAGTGCCAGGAGCTCAGAGGCTGGTAGCTCAGAAGCCTGTGCATGAGAGAGGCTGACCCTCAACTCTACCCCACTGTGAGGAAACCTGGGAGGGAGAGAGGGCATCAGGCAGCAGACCAAGGTCGCCTGTGTCTGGCCCTCACCGGTCCTGCTCCTCACTTCTCACCCAGGTATGCTGACCGCACCAAGCAGATCCGTTGCAATGCTGTCATCAATGAGGACCCTAACGCCCGGCTGATCCGGGAGCTGCAGGAAGAGGTGGCCAGGCTACGGGAGCTGCTCATGGCTCAAGGGCTCTCTGCCTCGGCCCTGGGAGGTGGGCCTCCGGGAGGAGAGGCTCGGGAGGCCCCTGGGCCCACCACTTCCCTCCTGATTTGCCTTTGCCCAGGCCTGGAGCCGGGGAGGGACCACTACCCAGAAAAGCCCGTATGTGCCCCATGACTTAGCTGCAGATGTGGAGAGGTGACAGATCATGCCTTCAGATGTGACAGCTGGGAGGGACAGGTCCTCCTGAGGCAGGGCAGGCAGGATTCAGAGGGACCTTGACAGGCTCCTGAAACTACTGAAATGATAGGAGCAGGAGTAAATAGCCAGTCATGCATTTGTAACTTACACAGTAAGTCATTAAGAATAGACTGCTGGGCATCTGCTTTGACAGAAATTCTTGTGAAACATTGGGAATTAAATTGATCGTAAACTTAATAACAGTCAACTTGGAGTAACTTCTGAAATGTGAGGCTTGGTCTCTCTACCCTGAAATGGCATCTGTATTAGAGAATCTGTGATCCATGTTAACTGTGTCCAGCGTGGGTTCTGCATTCAGTCTTGGGGTCCATCCCTTTGAGGAGTCAGGGTGCTCAGGGGCATGATGGGGAAAATAAGGGTTCTTAGGAAGAGAAGGTAGATGCAATGTTGGCTTCTGCACATTTGAAGGGTAGTCTTGTGCAAAAAAAAAAAGTGTAGTCCCTCTCATTCCAGAGGCAGAACTAGAAACAGGTACATTTCAGGTTTCAGCTCAACACAGCAAAGCACTTTCTGATGGTGCAAGTCATCTAACAGTGGAAGGAACTGACTGCCTTGTTTAGTAGTGAGCTCTCCATCACTGGAGAGGAACAGCAGAGACTCAGTGTCCATTCGTCAAGACTGTAGTAGGAAGGCTTCCCACTTGGTGGGGGTGGACCACACGTCTTCTGTAGTCCTTACAGACTGGTCTGTTGTGAGATCTCTGTCTCTTGTCAGATGCATCTTTCCTTAGCCTCCTTTTACTTCTTTCTCCCTCCTAGGCCGGAAGGTGGACGAGGGGAGTCCCGAAGGTGCTTTGCCGGCTCTGTCGTCACCCTCTGCCCCAGCTTCGCCATCATCCCCCACAGCTCACAATGGGGAGCTGGAGCCCTCATTCTCCCCTAACGCCGAGCCCCAGATTGGGCCTGAGGAGGCCATGGAGAGACTGCAGGTGGGATGCTGGAGCAGACAGGGGCAGGGCCTGGGGGCCGCTGGGAGTTTTTTCTCCAAAGCCAGGGTCCAAGAGGAGGAAGGTATCCTGGGAGTAGCACGGCCCCCCGAGAGGGCTTGTCGCGGACTGTCCTGATCCATGCCTGTTTGTGCCCCCAGGAGACAGAGAAGATTATTGCTGAGCTGAATGAAACCTGGGAGGAGAAGCTCCGTAAGACGGAGGCCTTGAGGATGGAGAGGTGTGGGGGTGGGGCCCACAGCTGGAGCCTGGGAAGGAGCAGGGTGGGGAGGGGAGGTCAGGCCCTGCCCGGAACGGGTTTGTGGGTCCTGAGGATAAGACCAATATTCACTTCTCTTGTGCCTACAGAGAAGCACTGCTGGCTGAGATGGGGGTGGCTGTCCGAGAAGACGGGGGAACCGTGGGCGTCTTCTCTCCAAAGAAGGTGAGTGAGGGGCCTAATGAGGCGGCCTGGGAGACTCTGGGTGCTGAGAGAAGAGTGTTGGGGTGACAGGGTAGTCAGTTTTAACTCTGCTTCCTGAGGTCTCTGGATTGGCCCTCCATCATCTCTGTCCCCACTCCTGCCACCTGCTGTCTGTGTTATCAGGCTGTCCCTGTCTTCTCCATCCATCTAGGGACCACAGAAGGATGCCAGGGAAGACCTAGGTATTGACAGACAGAAGCCCACACACGTGTGTGAGTTCATGCGTAGCGTGTGTTTCTGGGTTCATAAGAAACTGGTTATGGTGGTTACCCCAGGGGAAGGGAGAGGCTGGGGAGAGTACAGGTTGATTGGGAAAGTGACTTTTCCACGGTGTGCTCTTCTGTATCATTTGGATTTTATATGCTGTGCATGTGACCTACTTTGGGTGGCTCAGTGAAAAAGAATCCGCCTGCAATGCAGGAGATGCAGGTTCAATCCCTGGGCCGGGAAGATCCCCTGGAGTAGGCAGTGGCGGCCCACTCCAGGATTCTGGCTTGGGAAACCCCTTGGGCAGAGGAGTATGGCGGGCTACCGTCATGGGATCAAAAAAGAGTCAGATATGACTTAGCAACTAAACAACAACAACCCTGTGCGTGTGATACCTACTCAACAAACAAAACCCCAAACCTAAAACATGAACGTTTTGAAAAGTTAGCTTGGGAAGACAAGACTGTAAAGGAATAGAGGAAGAATGAACACTAAATTGTAAGATGCTGATGGAAAGGCAGCAGAGGGCTTAAAGATGGATGTATCAGTGCCGCCTGGAGACTTGTGGAAACTGGTTTCCTGAAGAAGGTGGTTTGGAAAGTGTAGCCTGATAGATGGATGGGGTGGTGGGAGCAGGGAAAACATGGGGCTGAGCAAATGTGGAATCTTGTCGCCAGAGTGGGACCTGGCACATGCCCCTGGTGTAATCAGAGCTCAGAAAGTCTCTGTGGTGAGGGAGGAAGGAAGGAAGCAGGGCAGGAGTGATGAGGCTCAGTTGGAGGAGGGAGGAGTGATATTCAGACCCTGTAACAACCAGTACAGCACAAGGACCCACCAACCAGAGTGGACTGGGGCCAGCACAGCTGTCCCAGGGCCAGTGTGAGCAGAGCAGGAGCTTCCAGTCCTAGCGCTGGAAGGGAGCCATGCCTGTCTGGGGCCTTGGTACCAAGCATAATGGGACTGGGCCCTAAGAGTGACACACCCCTTTCAGGCGGTGGATTATTGGAAGGAGACCCCTCCGAATTTCAGGTGGACAGGGCATCTGGGAGACTGAGCAAGCAGGAACCCATGAACTGGGATCCAAACAGAGGAGAGGGGTTTGCCTGAGGCTCAGCCCGGGGAGCGAGAGAGCTGTCCGTGGGTGATGGAGAGCGGCCGGCAGGGCTGAGGGGTCAGGTCTGGGGCTAGGTCCCTGGGGTTTTGGGGTCCCCAAGAGGCCTACACTTGGGAGGAGGGGCTGGAAAGAGGCTCTCAGTGTGGCTTGCCCATCCATCACCTTGGGGTGCCGAGTACCTCTGGACCTTCTGCCACAGCTGCAGGGCTGCGGAGAGGTCGGGAGGGATGGGCAGACTGACAGGGTTCTCACAGCACAGGATGCCACCTGCTCAAGTCTGGGACCAATGGGAGGGGCTTTTGTTTCATTCTTGTAAAGGTAGCATTCACATGCTGTGAGGTGTATGGCATGAAAAGGAAACCTTCCTTCCTACCCTCAGCTTCCCCTCCCAGAGGCGAGTCCTGTTAGCAGTTTCCACTGTGTTCTAGAGGTGGTCTCCGCGTGTGCAGGCATGTGTATAGAAAATCAGCCACATACTTAGGCACACTTCTCTCTTTGCAGTAGTAGTGGTTCCATACCTGACATGTTATTTTTTTCACATAACAATGCATCATAGTTCTGTCTGCTATTGTTTTTTTTCTTCCCCACAGTGTCAGGATATTCTATTGTATAGACATCAAATAATTGTTTTTTTTTAACCAGCTTCCTACTGATGGACTTTTAGGTCATTTCCCATTCTCTGATACTACAAACAATGTTATAGAAGATAGTCTAGAAATAGTTTGCGGTCTGTAGAACAAACTCCTAGAAGTGGAGATTTGGGGTCCAACAGTCAGATTTTGATCTGTTTTGCCTCCAGAGATTATTAACCATGCCTACTTAGACTCCCAGAACAACATATCTGAGAGCCCACGTTCATTCACCCTCATCACCTTTTTCATCTTTGCCAGTCTGATTGATGAAAAAAAAAAAAGGTGTCTTAGAGGAGGTAACTTCTGCATTTTCTCCTGGTGGTGAAGATGAACCCATTCTCATGGGTTTAAAAGTCATGTGGATTTCAGAGAGAAAGCTGTTAGACTCACAGAAGAAACAGGTTTAGCGGGGGTGACTCCAGCCTAGGAAAGGTCCAGTGAAGAATTGGGTCTTTGGGGCCAAAGTTCCAGTTTTGTCCTGGGGAGAGCCAGGAACCTTGGGGAAAGCCCCTTCCTTCTGGGACCTCGCCCCAGGCCTAAGGTCTTCTTAAGCTGGTCGTCTTCAAACCTGGCTGGGAGCTTCCTTCACGGGGCCAAGTTAGGGGGAGTGGGGAGCAGGACAGAACTGTGGGTCCCCCACTCCCACTTCGACCTGAGCAGCTCTCTGCTTATCTGCTTGATGTGTTAGGCTTCTCGGTAAGGTTTCATGTGAACAAAGGGTTCCTGGGTCGAACAGAGATTGAAAAGCGCTGTCCTAAATTGTGTCTCCTCTCCCAGGGGAAAGATTGCTTTCTGCTTCTAGGGCCCATCAGTGTTTGCCGTTCCCAGGCAGGCCAGATGCTGCGGGTCGAGAGGGGCGGGACCATCCTTCCGGAGAAGAGCAGGTGTTGGAGAATGATTGTTGAGGGGCCTGGTGGAGGATCGGACATAGATACTCATCGCACCCACCGTGGACATTGCCTTGGGCTTCCCGTTCAGGGGAACTCCCAGAGAAACATGGGGCCTCGACTGCTGGGTGTTTCCCCGTACCCTGTGCTTTCCAGCCTCCCTGCCTTTGTTCAGACCCCTCCTTTCTTCTGCATGTCCACATCCTCCTCATCATCAGAGAGCAGCTCCCATACTGCCTTTTCCATGAAGTTCCTCTGACTCTCCTGAGCTCCCATTGGTCTTCACTGTACTCATCTTTGTGTATAAGCCCCTTCCAGGATACAGTAGGATAAATGAATGAATAAGCTAAGTGAGGGCATGAGAAGTTCAGAAAGACTACTCTGAGACATGCATTTCTCACTTGTGAGGTGTTTCCACGCCCAATCTTATCTCCCCATGTTGACTCTGTTTTCCTGACTGATGGGACAGCAGCATTTGGGTTTGACTCATCTCTGTGTCCTGCCTGGCGCCTCAGTAGGGTCTTGCACTTAGAAGGGCCACAGTAACTCCTTGGAGAACAAGCAGGGCATCTTGTGTTCAGGTGGAAGGCCTAGAAAATCTTCATGGAAGAAGTGGCATTTGAGACAGACTGAGAGGGATGGGAAATGAATGATTTTGATGGCTGGGGGTGGGGCGGGGAGGGAAGCTGTTCCAGGCAGGAGGAGAGGCAGGGATGTAGGAGCTCTACTTCAGGAGTGAGGGCTCAGAGTCCAGTGGGTAGGAGCTGGGAAGGGGAGAGGACACCCTGGAAAGGGGCTTTGGCTCAGTGAGCTGGGCCCTGTCGTGGAGGAGGCCCAGAGGTACAGGCTGCAAAAGCAGACGAGTCAGGTGGGCTTGAGGTGTGGGCAGGAGAGGTCTGAGCAGTCCTTTCTCATTACCTCCCTTCCCACCCCAACAAATGGCAAGATGTATTTTGAAGGAGGAAATGATGAGTCTGGGGCCAGAGGGAAAGCAGGACAAGGGCAGGTAGCTGCCAAGGTTTCCTGCAGGGAGACTGGTGGGGCCTAGGGAGCAGCTAGAAGGGTGGGAGTGTCTTGTGTGTGAGGAAAGGGTAGGGTGGGTCAGATGAGTGGCAGCAGGAGCTGGGAGAGCTCACCTGCAGAGATGTTTGCCAGAGTGCTTCCCTCCCTCCTGACGGGCCTTCTGCTGATTGCTGCCCCCTCCCCCTCAGACTCCGCACCTGGTGAACCTGAATGAAGACCCCCTGATGTCCGAGTGTCTGCTCTACCACATCAAAGATGGCGTTACCAGGTAGCCTTTGCTCTGGGCCTGTGGGGCAGTCTCTCTTTCTGGAGGTTGGTTGCAGAGGGACCTGCCTTTCCTAGTGACATCATGGGGACCTTCTGGGTCTCAGGTCAGCTCTTCTGCACCCCTGCTAGCTCTCTGGGCTTCCTGAGAACCAGCTGAGCCTACCTTTGGTGGGGGTGACACACCTCCTGGGACCAAATAAGCCCAGCGCTGGCGCGGCTGGGTCCTGATCTCCTGGAGCAGAGAGCTGGTGGGAACTTGACCACCATGTTTGCTGTTGAGGGACAGTGCCCACGTGGCAGGTGGCTTCACTGGCTAATGCTAATGAACCCCCAGGTCTCAGAGCCTCCGAGGTCACCTCCTGGAGGTAAATGGGTGGAAGTGTTCCTTCCTCTTCCACCACAGGCTGTTCTGCTGTCCTTGGTGATCATCATGGGAAGGATATGGGAACCGAGACTGAGAGCGTCCACCGCACTGCAGGTTCCCTTCCCCCTTTGCTACATAACAGTACATAACAGATGTGGGCTTGGAGCCAGGCAGATCTGAGCTCATACCCCAGTTTCACCAGTGCTGCGCTGCCTGATTTTGGGCAAGTTACTTTATCTCTCTGATTCTCAGCTTCCTCATCTGCGAAATGGGAATAATTATACTTGGTTGATTGAGTCAGATGAACATTTTGTTTCAGAAGGGGCTTGGCATATGTATGACTAACACATGCTCAGAAAATGTCGGCCGTTGCTTCCCCAGGGTTGGCCAGGTCGATGTGGACATCAAGCTGACCGGGCAGTTCATCCGGGAGCAACACTGCCTGTTCCGGAGCATCCCTCAGTCAGACGGAGAAGGTAATGGCTGAGGGGGTTGGCTCAGAATGTCTGGCCGAGGTAATGGCCAGATAAGGAGAGAGAGTGCTACCTCATGCTGGATGCCGAGGCCTAGGTCGGGCTCTGGGAATGTGGCCATGTGAGAAGGACGTGTCCACCCTGAGAGGGGCTTCAAGCTCCTGGTCAGCTGTGGGGGCCCTGCTGTCTGTACCCACCCTCAGGGTGCAGAGTGTTAACAAGGGGCAGGGGTGGTGAAGGTCCCCAAGGCAGAAACAGGAGACTGTGGCTCCAGAGAGTGAGATTTTGGGCAAGAGGAAATCCAGCCCTCTTGCTTGATTTTTTTTAGCCTCGAATAGCACCTTGGTTATTTTTTATGAAAACTTGTACTTTTTCAGTGGGATATCTGAATTTATCTCTGAAAACCTGCTTACCTGTCCAGCTATGAATGCAAAAGTTCTAGGCAGTTATTTGACATGTGTATCCTTTTGGCTCTTAAAACTTTCAGAGGTTTTTATCTGTTTCTGGCCACAGCAGCAAAAGCTTTTAGGAATCACGAGCCCTCAGGTAGTAGTGTGTCTGACAGGTAGTACCACAATGCTCATGGTGAAGTACCACTTAGGGTGGTTCCGAGGTCACGTTTTATTCTGGTTCAGTCTTTTTTTTTTTTTAATGAAGTGATTTGTGTTCAGCTGGGCCCAAGTGAAGTGGAACTCTGGAAAGCGAGTTGGGCAGAGAGGCTGACCGTGTCACACCTGAGTCCTTGGTGTCCATGCTGTGTCATACCTGAGCTGTCTGTCACCTTGAACTGGTGCTGTGTGCCTCAGTGCAGGGTGGGGGGATGGGAGACGGGCATATCAGAGTGTGTTTTAAAATAAGAAAACACACTTTCTCGCGGCCTGCAGCTCAGGTTGAACACCTGCCAGGTGGCTTCCATTGCAGTTCAGGGTCAGTGGATTATCACCTGGTTCGGGTCCCCAGTGGCAGAACACGCTTCCGGCATTGTGAGCTGTGAACTGTTAAATCAGTTTAGCCCAGTGAGTGAGTGCCGAGTTCCTGTTCTGCGGTTCCCTCAAGCTGTGTTCTGGGGTGATACCGAAACCACAGAAGGCCCTTGGAGCCAACCCACCCTTGAGGGGGAGCTCATAGTGTGTGTGGGAAGAAGACAGGCACACATTGGTTATGTCACAGTGAAAACAGCAGCTGTTCTGTGCCCTAAAGGCGTTGTTCAGTCGCTCGGTCATGTCCGACTCTTGGCAACACCATGGACTTTAGGCCTCCAGGCTCCTCTGTCCATGGGATTTCCCAGACGAGAATACTGGAGTGGGTGGCCATGTCCTTCTCCAAGGGACCCTCCCAACCCAGGGATCAAACCTGAGTCTCTTGCTTGGCAGGCAGATTCTTTACCACTGAGCCACCTGGGAAGCCCTCCCCAAAGATGGGGGCTGTGTAAAGGGTTAGTCTCTTTGGGCCTTTGCTCTTAACAGCAGACTTAAGACCAAAGACAGGCTGAGAAGAGCAGGCCGCAGGGATGCGGTTGTGAGCGTGGAAGAATAGCTGTTACTACTGTGCACGTTGTATTGTCTCACCCAGCTCGCAGGTGAGGGAGCTGAGGCTCCTGGGGTTGGGGGACTTGCCCAGGACCACACAGCTAGCCTCCCTGGTGGCTCAGATGGTGAAGAGTCTGCCTGCAGTGCAGGAAACCCGGGTTCAACCCCTGGGTCGGGGAGATGCCCTGGAGGAGGGGATAGCAGCCCTCCAGTATTCTTACCTGGAGAGTTCCATGCACAGAGGAGCCTGGTGGGCCGTAGCACAGAGCGTTGCAAAAGAGTCAGACACAACTGAGCGTGTCACACACAGCTAGCAGGTGGGAGAACTGGGTTAGGATGCAGCATGGCTGGCTCTAGGGCCAGAGTTGTGAGTCCTGGCTGCCTCAGTTCAGATGTCTGTGGGTTCACCTGGGTTTTCTCCTGGCCCCATTTCCTTCCATTACAACTATCACCGCCCAACCCTGACTTTAGATGATTTGCTCACTTACTTGTTTATCGTCTTACCAAGTAGAAGTGATGTCTGTATGAGAAGCAATTATGTTTTTTATCTCCTGTATTTCCAGGACCTAAAATAGTGCCTGGTGTATTATAGGGCCCAGTATATTTGTGGAATGGATGGATAAATTTGGGGCGTGGTGGGAAATAAGGACAAAATAGCCAGCTCATGGCCTTATAGTCATCTCATCCTCTCCTCTGCCACCACCTTCCATTGCTGGGCTTGGACACAAATGATGAATTTTTTGTTTTTTTTTTTTTACAAATGATGCTTTATTCCATCTGTCTGCCATCTACTCCATTTCTGCCCCTTATCTGAGTTTCCCTTCGAGCTTCAACTCAAAAGTTAGCACTTTCCCATGATCATTTCCAGTCCTCTGCCCCTAAGCCAAGTTCCTCTTTGCTATTTTTGTTCTCCCGCAGTACCCATAGGCTTGTCTTTGCCTTACGTTACCATTTGTTCTGGTTTCTCTATTCCTTGTAACATAAATAACTCATTTTCGTTCATCACTGTGTTTGAGCCTTTCAGCCACTCTGTACGGAAAGACTTTGTTATCCCATTGTATAGCTCTGAGAGATCAGGTGACTTGCTCAGTGTCCCTCCACTAAGGAGTCACAGAGTCTGGGTTTTGGAAATTCGGGGCCCCCTGAGCATGGGGCAGTTGTCCTTGAAGACAGGGAGCTGCCTCAGGCATCTTTGTGTCCCACAGGAGGAAGGTTCTGTGATTTGTACAAGGAGCATCTTGATGACTGTGGCTTGGGTTGACTTTACTCTCATCTCATGAAGATAGGGATCTGTGGACTGTGGCTTGAGAGGATTAGTCAGGTAGCAATTTGCAAGCTGCATCAGACAGAAGTGGGGCTAGGAGCCTGCTGGAGGTATCCAGACCTGGCTAGGCACAGTGTTGTTTGAGAAGGAGGGGAGTGAGATGTCGTCTGGATGGCAGGAATGACAGACAGGGCCCACCGACCAGTTGGACCTGAGAGACCACGTCCTCTGAGAGTTCCAGGCTTGCTAAGCCACTGCTGGAGAGGCTGGTGGAGGGTGAACAGGCAGCACCCACCACCCCCCCCTCCACCACCGCCGAGGCTCGTGGGAGCTGCAGCTGGGGCTCTAACCCTCCTTCTGCTCTTCCTTTCCCATGCTGCCTGCCACCAGAGGGGCCATGGCACCCCCAACAGGTACTGGAGGGTGGAACTGGGGTGCATGTGTGTTTCGGGGGGGAATGCAGGGTGGGAGTCTGTGACCTTACCCCTCTTCCCTTGGAGTCTGATCCCTCCTTCTCCTCTCTCCCTGCCTCAGTGGTGGTCACCCTGGAACCCTGCGAAGGAGCTGAGACCTATGTCAATGGGAAACTTGTGACTGAGCCTGTGGTGCTGAAGTCAGGTAGAGGACGGTGTAGTGAGGGGTCTGGCTGTGCAAGGAAGAACTTGGTGGGTGAATCCTGGGCAGGACTCAGAAATAAATAGGAGACAGTGTGGGATATGAAGATCGACTGGGAAGGGGAGAGGAGCCAGGGTTTGGTTTGTCTTGCTGCCTCAGGGCAACAGGAAGAGGATTCCCAGCTCCTGACTTCTTGTGACTCTCAGGGACAGGGCAGTTCCCAGGGTCAACTGGGGGAGACTTGGCTCTGACCACCTTGGACTTGGGGTGAAGGAGAGATGATGTATGGGCTCCTTTGATTGGTGGGCAAGGCCCCTTACATCTAGGGCGTGAGGAAGGAGTGCTGCTCTGGGGAGTGAGCCCACATCTCCATCCTCCCTCCTCCAGGGAATAGGATTGTGATGGGCAAGAACCACGTGTTCCGCTTCAATCACCCAGAGCAGGCACGGCTGGAGCGGGAACGAGGGGTCCCCCCTCCCCCAGGACCGCCCTCCGAGCCTGTTGACTGGAACTTTGCCCAGAAGGAACTACTGGAGCAGCAAGGCATCGACATCAAGCTAGAGATGGAGAAGAGGTGCGTGGGGAGAGTGATCAGGCCCCAGGCCCTCCTGGCCATCCCGCCCAGGCCCCCAGCCCCCAGCATCTTCCTGTTGTTAGATGCCCCATTGAGGTGGCTCCAGAACCTCACAGCTTTGTCTCTTCTCCCACCCAAATCCAGGCTTCAGGATCTGGAGAACCAGTACAGAAAGGAAAAGGAAGAGGCTGACCTTCTTCTGGAGCAGCAGCGGCTGGTGAGGGGCTGGCGGGGGCATGACGGGAAGGCAAGGGTTGGGGGGTGTGGAGTGCAGACAGGTGGGTGGGAGTTGGGCTGGCAGCACTTCAGCCTGATTCCCACTGAGTCAGAGTAGGGAGTGGCTCTTGGCTGGGGGTAGAGGTGGCGTCTAGGAGGAGACAGAAGAGAAATGTAACCCAGGGAAGAACCCATACATCCCAGGAGCGAGGGGGTCCTCCCAGGCGACTGGGGCTTCCTGGACTTTTGCTGATCCTGGGCCTTTTGTATGATTTTTACCACCTGTGCTGTCACTTCCCTGGTGACTTAGTGGTAAAGAATTCATCTGTAGTGCAGGAAACGCGGAAGCCTCAGGTTCGATCCCTGGGTGGGGATGATCCCTAGAGGATCTTGACAACCCACTCCGGTATTATTGCCGGGAAAATCTTGTGGACAGAGGAGCTGGTGGGCTACAGTCCATGGAGTTGCAAAAAGTCAGACGTGAGTGAAGCAACTGAGCATGCACCCACGAGCTGTTTAAGATTATTCTTTGAGTAGACTTGCATTTATTTTTACTTTTTAAAATATGTATTTATTTGACTGCACTGGGTCTTCGTTGTGTCACGTGGGACCTTTTGTTGCAGTGCACAGTTTCTCTAGTTGTGGTGAATGGGCTTAATTGACCCATGGCACGTGGGTTCTTAGTTCCCCAACCAAGGGTAGAACCTGTGTCCCCTGCATTGCACAGAGGATTCTTAACCACTGGAGCAACAAGAAAGTCCCTTGGACTTGACTTTTAAATCTTTAATCTCGTCCTGAGTGATACATACATGAAACCCACACTTGGCATGTCTGCAGCTTATTAGCTATACTCACTTCCTCTGTTCCAGCCACCACACCACACACTCCAAGTATGGTAATCCTCAGAAGGTACCTGTAGGGAGGTGCAGACAAGCAGAGATCAAGCCCTGTGCCCCACACTGCACAGTTCTAACCGCCATGTTTCCAGTTGCTGGGATGCACGGCCCTGAGGTGTCCTTAGCCATCTCCTTAGCCTGTCTCCTTTCTCTCTGGCCCCAGTACGCGGACTCTGACAGTGGGGATGACTCCGACAAGCGCTCCTGCGAAGAGAGCTGGCGGCTCATCTCATCCCTGCGCGAGCAGCTGCCCCCCACCACGGTCCAGACCATCGTTAAGCGCTGTGGCCTACCCAGCAGCGGCAAGCGCAGGGCCCCCCGCAGGGTGTACCAGATCCCCCAGCGGAGGCGGCTGCAGGGCAAAGACCCCCGCTGGGCCACCATGGCCGACCTGAAGATGCAGGCTGTGAAGGAGATCTGCTATGAGGTGGCCCTGGCTGACTTCCGCCACGGGCGGGCTGAGATCGAGGCCCTGGCCGCCCTCAAGATGCGGGAGCTCTGCCGCACATATGGCAAGCCCGAGGGGCCCGGGGATGCCTGGAGGGCCGTGGCCCGGGACGTCTGGGACACAGTGGGCGAGGAAGAAGGTGGTGGAGGTGGAGGTGGCGGCAGTGAGGAGGGAGCCCGCGGCGCGGAGGTGGAGGACCTGCGGGCTCACATTGACAAGCTGACGGGGATCCTGCAGGAGGTGAAGCTGCAGAACAGCACCAAGGACCGCGAGCTGCAGGCCCTGCGGGACCGCATGCTTCGCATGGAGAGGGTCATCCCCCTGGCCCAGGTAGGCCAGCCTGCCCGCCTCTCCCCGCTGTCCTCCCTGCCCGCTGTCCTCCCCTGTGAGAACCGGAACTCCCACCACAGAGTCCAGCCTCCTTTCTCCTCTGCCTTTAAAAGGCTCTTATCGACGTTTAACATAGCTCTTCTCAGCGTAGTTTGTGAATCACCTGCTTCACAACCACCAGGGCCCTAGCTGAAAATGCAGATTCCTGGGTTTTGCCCCAGACCCACTGAAGCAGCATCTTTGGGTGTTAGAAATGAATCTGCATTTATAACAACTGGCCGGGTAGTTCTGAAGAGCAGTAGAGTATGAGAAACACTGATATAAAGGGTACAGTCCCATACGTTACCACTCAGTGGGTGTTCACATACTGTTCACTCTTAGAACCACCCCTCTCCTGGGTGACCCTCGACTCTGGTGGCCACTGTACTGAGCACTTACGTGTCACTGTGTAAATCTTCACAGCAGCCCCGTGAGCCATAGTGTTACCACCTACCCTGGTTTTGCATGTATTCACTCAACAAGCGTTGAGTGTTTCTTGTGTGCCAGGCATCATGCTAGCTATAGGGGTTACTCACAACAGACAGAGTTTCGGCTGTGTTCCCACTTGCCTGCTGAAGGGGGATGACAGGCAGCTGAATCATGATGACAGTCATGCTTGTCGAAGGCTTACAACTCCACATGCAACCCTTACCCCTGTCTCCTCGCTCTCCTCTCTCCAAATGCTTGGGTCCTTGCCATTCATTGAACTCCTGGCCTCAAAACCTTTGTGCCTGCTGTTCCCTCTGCCTAGAATGCCTTTCCTCACAGACCATATAGCTCACCCCTCACTTCCTTCAGGAGGTGTTCACTAAAATGATAACGTTTCAGTGAACCTCTTCCTGTTCTTTCATTGCCACTACCACCCTGGCCTCCTGTCTCCTCTCCTTGTTTTGGTCTTTTCCATGTGAATATATATTTTTGTATTTATATAAAATCTATAACATGGTACTCTATATACTATATAATATAAATAACATATATTAAATAGCTTTAATACATACATTCAGCTTTTTACGGAAGTATAGCATACGTACCATGTTATATATTTGTCTCATTTATTTGTCAGTTGTGTCAGTGCACTGAAGTGACGGCAGGTGTTTTTCTTTCCTTCTTACTGGCCACTGTATCCTGGGGCATGTCTTTGACTCAGCAGTATTTGCTGAGCGTCTCTAGGTGAGGCTTGTGGAGTTTCCCATGTAGCTTTACAGCAGCCCTGTGTCATAGGTACTGTCACTGTTGACGTCATCTTGCACGTGAGGACAGAGGCATAGAGGTTACAAGCCAACGACGCAGACGCAGACCCACAGCTCGGAGGTGGCCGACCTGGACTGGGCCTGACCACCCGGCTCTGGGTCTGGGCTCCTAAACCAGTGTCCCTCCAGCTTCCTCAACCCCAGCCCCCTCTCAGGACCCTGGATATCCACCCGCTCCAGGACCTTCCCACGTGTCCTCCTGAATCTGTATGTCCTCAGGAGGCCACTCTCCTCACGCCCCACCTTTCCTCTCACCCCTCCCCCTCCCAGGATCACGAGGATGAGAATGAAGAAGCTGGTGAGACCACGTGGGCCCAGCCCCAAGGGTCTGAGGCAGCGGAGGAGGAAGCCTCCAGTGACCGAGCGCCCCCCGCCCGGCCCTCCTCGCCACCCCTGTCTAGCTGGGAGCGGGTATCAAGGCTGATGGAAGAGGACCCTGCCTTCCGTCGGGGCCGCCTCCGCTGGCTCAAGCAGGAGCAGCTGCGGCTGCAGGGACTGCAGGGCTCCGGGGGCCGGGGCGGGGGGCTGCGCAGACCCCCCGCCCGCTTTGTGCCCCCTCATGACTGCAAACTGCGCTTCCCCTTCAAGAGCAACCCCCAGCACCGAGAGTCCTGGCCGGGGGCGGGGGCCGGGGAGTCCCCAGCACCACCCCAGCCCCCCGAGGAGCTCACCCCACCTCCAGCCACCCCTGCGCGAAGGCCCCCAAGTCCCCGTAGGTCCCACCGTCCCCGCAGGAACTCCCTGGACGGAGGGGGCCGGTCCCGGGGAGGGGGTTCTGCACAGCCCGAACCCCAGCACTTCCAGCCCAAAAAGCACAACTATTATCCCCAGCAGCCCCAGCCATACCCAGCCCAAAGGCCCCCGGGGCCCCGCTACCCCCCATACACTACACCCCCGAGGATGAGACGGCAGCGCTCAGCCCCTGACCTCAAGGAGAGCGGGGCGGCCGTGTGAGCCCCGCATCCTGGGTAGAGAGGGCCTGGTGGGGCCCCTCGCTGGCAGGATCACTGCTCCCCCAGAGGCAGGGAGGCCCTGGAAAAGAGAGAGAAGGTCCGAGTAGGTGATAGAAGATGTAGGGGTGACTGGGCCGGAGGCTGAGGAAGGACAAGGGCACGGAGCTGCCGGGAGTGAACCAAAGTGAAGGAGAGCGATGGGAAGCTGCCTCGGGCCCCTCCCCTTGCTGGGGAGGTCCCACAAACGCTGCTAGGGTGGGTGGGGGGCTGGGGTGCTGCGTAGTCAGTGTTTGACTTTCTTTTCAAGTCGGGGCAGAAGGAGAGAACCTAGAGGGAAGTGAGGTCTCCCTGTCCTGGCCCCTGTCTGTCTTGTCTGTCTGTCTGTGGTGGGTTTCTGTTTCCAGGGAGGTGTGGTGGGATCATAAGTCATTCCCCTCCCCCTTCCAGGCCTCCTGCTATACTTGGGGAAACCTGTCTGGTTTCTGGTTTGGCTCAGGTCCCGTGAGGATGTGGGACCCTTCAATAAAAGCTAGCAAACAGAGGAGCCTGTGGCTGGTGGTCGTTCAGTTTTGGTTTTCAGTGGAGGCGTGGATGATATCAAAGCAAAATGCACAGAACTTTAAGCGTGGCTGAGTGAATTTTTGCATGCGTGTGCACCCATGAAGTCACCATTCAAGTTAAGATGGAAGAGTGTTTCCATTACAGTTTCTGAAATATTCAATATCATGTGTTCTCTCTGGAGAGCGTGTAACCCATTCCTTTTAACCCTTTCATTTTTGCTTACCCAGCATCCCATCTCTGTCTCCAAAACTGCTGTCATTGTCCTGGAGGGAGGCAAGAGAGGGATGAGAGGGGAGGAAGAGGGAGTTCCAGCCTGTTAACACCCAACTGGCTGTTCCTCAGGAAGTGGAACAAGATTTGGATTTGGGAGCAAGGTCTGACTCTAGTTTTTTGAGTCCCTTAGCTATTTTAAAGGTTTCCCTGTGCCTGTGTTTAGTCGTGTCTGACTCTTTGGTGACTCTGGACTGTAGTCCGCCAGGCTCCTCTGTCCATGGGGATTCTCCAGGCAAGAATACTGGAGTGGGTTGCCATGCCCTCCTCCAGGGGATCTTCCCAGCCCAGGTCTCCCACATTGCGGGCGGATTCTTTACTGTCTGAGATACTAGCGAAGCCCAAGAGTACTGGAGTTGGTAGCCTATCCTGTCTCCAGGAGATCTTCCCCAACCCAGGAATCAAACTGGGGTTTCCTGCATTGCAGGCACATTCTTTACCAGCTGAGCTCTCAGGGAAGACCATGTAGCCACAGTTTCCCCAGGTTCTGTTCTATCTCGGGATGTTTAACAATGAATGTGTTGGTCAAGCTTACTGCACCTACCTGTTTTCATCCCATTTGGCAGGGCACGGTCAGTATTCCAAATAATATTTTGTTTTAAGATTGTTTTAAGAAGCATGCTACCTGCTTGTTTTAATGTTCTGGCTCGGAGGAGCACGTCCGTGTCAGTTCACATTTTGCAGGAAATTATATCTGTGTTCTGCCTGCACCGGGTCAGGCTCTGGGATCCCCATGTTTTCAACCTGTACTCAGGAAAACACTTCCATCCATTTGAAAATTTGAGCTGCTTGCCCACAGCATCCTGATGTCTGTCTTGAGGTGCAAGCAGCCAAAACCATAGACATTATCCCAGTTACAGCCAAACCACGGCTCTGGGCAAGACCATGATTATGTTTACTCTTGGTTTCCGCACCATGATGCTGGCTACCTTTATTTTGGCAACCTTGACTGCCAGGTCTTTAGGGATCTGTTGACAGTGACCCAATCTCTGGAATGTAATGGACGGTTTGTCGACTGTATTTATTTGAGTGGTTTATAATCTGGTCAAGGAGACTAAATGTGAGCAAGAAAATGATAGAATACAAAGTTCTCTCCAGGTCAGAGCAAGCTGAGTGGTACAGGCAGTTTGTGGAAGTTGAGATGGGAAAGACAGCTCACTAAAATACTGTTGGATTATTTTTCCCTCAAGACTACCTTGTATAAATATGTTTTATACCACTTTTTATCAACTTCTCTCTTCTAGATCAGTCTTTTAAAATGTGATGAATTTTAGATTTTATTCAGAGGATTGCCCACTAATCTCATCTGTGCTACACATGCTAGCTTCTTTTTATTTTTTTTTAGCTGCTTTTTAAACACTGTAAAGTGGGATTCTTTTTGTGTCCATCTCTCAGACAGGAAGACTGGGTTTTGGCACAGTTAGGATTCCAACTCAGGTCAACTTGACTGAAGGCTAGACTGTTTCATGCCTTTGGGATGTCAGATATAATCTTTCCTTCTAAAAAACCATATTGCCTTCTCCTCACATGAGTCTGCCTCTCATTTCTGGCCTCTTCCAAAGCTGTCCTGAGAAGAAATGAGAGCCACTACTGTGCGCCTCCTCCAGGATCACAAGCCAAAGTCATCCAGACCACCTGCCAGCCAGCTTTCTGTATGTGTAGTATGTGTGTGTCGCTCAGTCATGTCTGACTCTGTTACCGCATGGATTGTAGCATGCCAGGCTTCTCTGTCCATGGAATTCTCCAGGCAAGAATACTAGAGTGGGTTAACCATTCCCATCTCCAGGGAATCTTCCCAACCCAGGCATCAAACCCAGATCTGCACTGCAGGCAGATTCTTTACCATCTGAGCCACCTGGAAAGCCCCAAAGTATCTGTAGCTCCCTCAGTTTGGACATTTCTACAATTTTATCCTTGGTTGCCTTGGAAATTCAGGCCAGCAGCCTCTGCCTCATTATACAAATTCTCACTCCTCCCACCCACTTCTGTCTCTCTTGAAAGGCAAGAGGAGATGGTGGCATCATCTGGATAGTATATCTCTCCTAAAGGCCTGGTCACCAGATGGGTGTTGTAGAAACTGTCTCTCTCATCATCCTAAACAGTCCCACAGTTGTAGGCCCCGACATTAACCTGTCATGCCCTGATAGCCTCATCAAGGAGGATTTCCACCTTGACTCCTCCAGGTCCTTTCCTGTGTTCCCTCTGTCACTGGACCTGGAAAAGGACTGTGTGTTGGGATCCCTGGGAAAGTCTTGCCCTGAACTCCTGTAGTTCTTAGGATGTAGCTGGAGTCCTGCCTGATGCCCTAGGCACATGGACCAGCCTGAAAAGTTCTCCTGCCTAACGAGCTAAGCTGCTTTCAAATGACCGTGGAAATGGTTCTGGGTGTTCTTGCAGAGACTTCTCAGTGAGAGAGGAAAAACAGGCTCTGGTGTCTCCAAGTTCAGGGCCCCACCCCCCAAAGGTCAGGGCTGCAGTCAAACTTTGGAACACACAGACCTGGGTCCCACACTCATCACTAGTTATCTGTGTGTCTCTAACTAAGTCACCCCTCTGGGTCTCAGTTTCGTTCTTTGTAAATCGGACTAATAATGCAGTGGAAAGATTTAAGAAGATAATAGATGCAAAGGGCCTGTCACATATTAAGGGCTCAAGGTTGGTACCTTCCCTTTTCCCTTGTTCTGAACTGGCAATGAAGACTGGGGAAGAAGGGTTAGGGAGGTGCCGCAAAACGAAGTTGGATCCCACAGAACTTACCTCTGCGACTCCTGGCACCCTGTATCCACCAAAACCTCTCCCCCAAGCCCCGTTGTTCCACTGTTGTCCGCCAGAGGGAGAAAGGGTGCACGTTCCCTCGCTGACCGCCTTGCCTTGCGCGTTCACAGAGCCTTGCGAGAGTGCGGCCTTGCGCGTTCCTGAGTCTCCAGGGGCGGGGCGCGCAGGCGCAGAAGGCTGGGCACAACTCGGCTGTGGGCAGGGCTTCCCTTTCCCGCGTCCCCGGAGCTGCACCGGGTTGATCCTACCCGCTTCTGGGGCACCAGGAGGGCGGTTTGGGACTGATGTTAGGGCTGGGGGCCTTGCGGGCATTTCTTCCTCCGAGACTAGCTTTAATCTTCGTTTTCCAGAAGAAATGACCTGACTTTCTTCAGAGTTAATATTTCCTTCCCCATCATGGATGATCAGGAATTCCAAAGAAAGGGTGGAGGAGGGACCTTCATTGAGCACCTTCTGCCATAGGGGCAGCGATGCCCACATACTAGAGGAACTTTTGGATTGGGATTTGCTTTGTTCGAAATTTGGCAAATACAGAAAAATAGAGGGAAGAAAACAGAAATCATCCACATTTCCTCACCACAAAAGATCCCTCGTTGTCTCCTATAAATGTACCCTAGAATGTTTGTTCAACAAGTATTTATTGAACACCTACCTATCTGTCTGCTAAGCAGGTTAGGTTATGTGGGACTGAAGAGGGAAAAGAAAACTGCTGGAGAGGACTGGAACCAGACCTCAGATCTCAGACTCCAGCCTGGTACTGTTTCTATTGTTTGTAACAACCAAATGTGGCTCAGGCTTTAAATGAAATGTCACATTGTTGAGTTTCAGAGAATTCATCCCGGAGGGGAAAAGTCTACAAATTTAATCAAAGTTGAGTTCTCAGATCATAATTGATGTTAACTCATTCTTACTAAGGAGATCACTTGTAAACATAATGAACAGCCTTTGGCTATATCATAATTTTGGAAAATATTTACTTATTTGGCTGCAGCGGGTCTTGGTTGTGGCTGGAGGGATCTTCATTGCAGCACCAGTAGCCTCTCTAGGCCCCTGAGGCATGTGGGATCTTAGTTTCCTGACCAGGGACCAGACCAGCGTCCCCTGCACTGGAAGGTGACTTCTTAACCCTTGGACCACCAGGAAAGCCCTATATCATAACTTTTAGTAGATAACAGGATTTATATTGCAAAGTAACTAAATATGTTTAATAAATATGATAAAAAGTCAGATGGATTCTTATCTTTGTTAAATTCCAGGGGGTCCACACTTGAATTAGCTCCAGAGAAAGTTTGCCCAGAACCAGGCAGACTCCTGTCACGCCTATGATGGAGGAACCACCCAGTTTGTTTTCTGTGTGGTTCAGGACATCTTCATCATGCTTCAGTCATGAAACGG